ACGTTCCTAATTTTTTTTTAATCTGAGGTATAAAATTTTTAAGTTTATTGCAAGCACTCTGAATTGTTACAGCAAGGAACAAAGCATTTGATGTTGCTGGTGCGTAACACATAGTATTTATAATGGAGTCGATTCACCAGCAGATTCTTACCGCTATATTTAGGAAAATGAATTATTTCCCTCAGTAGACGATTTCTTTAACAAAGAGACACTAAGTCTGGCACAGCACAATGGATATATTTGATATATCCTCTGAGGCTGCGTTCCTAGTAGAGATTTGAGAGGTTAGCCACGTAATAAAGATTCCTGGTAAGGTACACCAGGAAGGGATGTCAGGTGTACCAAGCGGAAGCTCATAAAAACTACTTATCTATCTTGTGTTGCCTACCAATATTTTCTCTCAACGCTAAAAGACGTTTCCACATTAATACTGCACAACCTCCGAATACAAGACTAAACAATGTATTTATAACAAGTTTGCGTATGTTGTCTGATGCATCTTTGAATTTAGAACAATATCTGCTAGTTACATTCTCGGTTGTCTTGTGATTATTCTCGTTGTTGACATTAAAAGAGTTGCGCCACAGATTGTCACACATTTCTTTTTTCATGTTTTAACTTGCCTTGAAAATTGGAAAGTCTTGTGGAATATTCATTCCTAGCGATGATTAGGAATTTTAATATATTTTTCTTTATTCTACGAACTCATAGTGGTCTGGATAACCTCAACTAGTCCTATCAAGACTAAAGGTTGAAAGAGTTATTTAAACAAATAATTAAAATAAAACCCTAACTAATATTATAAAGTTAAACTCCCATTCGTATCTTCGAAATGGGCCTCGATTCTGCTAATGTAGTATTGTATCAATAGACTGTCGATGGATTATCGTCGGCATAGTATTGCACTTTTTTTATTCTACTAACTATTTAAGACCAATGGCGTCCCGATGACTTGTCACTGATACAAATGTCGTCGATGTCTTTGTAATAGTTTGGTAAACTGTACACTTTAAATTGGTAAGAAAATGATGTATCTAATTTTCCAGTGATGACCTATATTATTATATCAGCAGCCTATTGACACTGTGAATTTATGTTAGTAGAATACCGATATCAATGGCATCTCAATAGCGTGTCAATGGAATGATAGTGGCTTGGCGTTAACATAAAATAGCAGAATTGAGGCCCTGATCAACATGAAAGTTTACATACAAATTGTCAGGGATACAGCAAACGAAGAAGGTACAGCTACAACTCAGATAATAGTCCCAAGACTTAAAAGCAACAGATATTAAATGAATTTAAGATGGAGGCAACAGACAATGAGGCGCAATAAGGAATAACGTAAAGATCGATAGAGATGGTAATATAAGTAAGGAAGTATACTTCTTCTACTAGATGGATGAAGAACAATCTTGCATCAGCATGTCGTTACGGCCAGATCACACTGACCGAAATGTCAGACAATTCAATAGTATGTATGTAATTGTAGGTGTGTAATTAATTAAATGATTCGCATGAATCCGCAACATAACTAGGATACAGATTATCATACAATGACTCCATGCCTCAAAAAGGTAAAAATATAATTCTATAGTGTTACAGCCCCAGAACTCTAGCAGACTTGAAATGCTACAAAAATACAATACTATACATTGTACATACAAAACCGTAATTTGTATAATATTTTTTTATTGTATAATCTACTATTGTTTTATTTATTGTTTAGCATGCCCAATTGAGGATTATGGTATGGTACAAAGAAATTGTATAGATTTAAAGAATGAATTTGTACACCCATATTTGCAAAAGAAGAAATGAACACATATACTAATAAATGAATGGAATCTTCTAGCAGTAGAATTTCAACCATGTTTAATGTCTTGATTTATTTCATTACCAGTAAAACTAGAAATGTTGTTTAAAAATGTTACCGTTCTACACATGCTCTACAAAACTTTAAGTATTTAAAGTTTCACATTCCTATCTGAATATATTTGCTTAAGAAATGCATGCTTCTTAAATATTAATTATAATGATGCTCAAGACAAAAGCGCTATTGTGAGTGTGAGTCACAATGTTATAATCAGTTGGTTCCACTGATCGACAAGACGACAAGAGCAATCAAAGCAAGAATATAAAAGTTATAAATAAAAAGACATTATTATTAAGTAATGAATGCATCCAACCTTGTTACAACATCCTTGACTCCTGATAAGATAGCACTTCACTTGGTAATGCAAGTAATGCAAGACAAACAAACCTATAAATTGGGTTGGTTATGTGTACTTAAATAGCTGAAATTATTCTTACAATAGAAAGACTCCAGATCATTGTGCTGAAAAGTTTATACAGAATTTTTTATGATATTTTCGAACCTCTGACACACAATGCCATTTAGTTTCAAACTTCAAACTAAGCAGAGCTTGTAGTATGAAAGCTAGATTGACTGATAGAATACTTATATACTTTTTTATAAATACATACATATTATACATAGAAAACAACCAAACTCCTAAACAAATATTGTCAGATCATACAAACATTTGTCAGTCACATACATTACAACTGCACCACCGAAGCAGTCATTTTGTTACTTTACCAACCTGTACACGGAAATAATAGATAAAAGAGAGTTGTCTAGTATATCATCAGTTAAGTTCAACATGCTGTTAGAGCTTCACTGATGATATACCACTTTATCATTTAAGTATTAGTAGGTATCTTCTTTCAGTTTTCACATTTAGATACTATTCAATTAAGAAGGATAACACAATTTTTTGGCTAATGTAGGTTTATCTTTAGTATAACTGCATTTATTTAAAATAATTTACCGAATCTGTATTTTAACCACCTTTCTAAGGGGAGACCTATGTCCAGTAGTGGACTATAAAAGGCTATTGATGCCTGTGATGTTTTGTATTTGCACTTACTGCATCATATTTTTTGTTTTTTTTTATATCACCCAAAGGTTGTTATAAAAAAAAGAATGTACCTAGTTTTGTACTCTGGTGTCCTCATACAAGCTAATCATGAACTTAATTTTTTTTAATAAACTATAAGTCATTTATCAATGCTAGTGTGACCTTTGAAATGTTGGTGTTGTTAGTTAATACCGCAGGTGACACATTAACAGAATAATTTGTATGCGGTTCAATAAAATGAGTAATTATATCTTTCAGCTTTTAGTGGTTTAAGCGGTTGCCACACCGCTCCCTGCTTGTCTGAGTGTTGTGGGTTCGATCCCTACATGGAACACCACTTTGTGTGATCCACAAATTGTTGTTCTGAGTCTGGGTGTTTTTTCTGTCAGTTTCATGTATGTTTGAAAAGTCCCCTGCAACGGAGTAATTATATTCCTAATGCAGGAGTTGTTTTTTTACAAAGACAAAGAAAGGACATACTAGCACACATCATAACAATGTTGTGGTATATTAAATTATGCCATTTTATCTACCTGTTAATTTAAAAATAGTGGCAGTGAGTTTGTTTGCTCTTTCTTCTCATAAGGCTCAGCCCTTTGGAAATAGGCAGTTGTAGATCAGCACTGGCATACAATAGATTTTCAATATTATTTTTATTATATTAATATTTTATATTTATTATATTATTTTTATTATATTATTATTTTGCTAAATATTTGACAAAACAGAGATTTTTGCTATTGTGTGTATTGATCTAGGTATAACTTTAGAGTCTACATAAAAGATGATTGCAAACAATTTTATTAAATAAAGGTATTTTAAGTTTGAGTTTCATATATTTGTTCCGGAATCATATTAAATCACATTATAGTCCTTAAACCACTTATGTTTGAACTAATTTGATGTTTCCACCAGATTGGACTGGTGACAGTCACATACTGACTTCATTCCCATTCATTTACATTATATCCTGGAATGTAACAGTTAAAAATAGGTTTTATGGTTCATGCGCTATACAAAAATTATTTTGATTCCATCATCATCACCAACAGCCTTTAATAGTCCACCGTTGGACATAAGCCTCTCCTTAGAAAGGAGGTTTTGGCCTACTATAATACGCTGGCCAGACAGGTTGGTATGGGCTTGGTATTTCGATTCCCACCCAGGACAAATAATTGAGCGATGTAAGTGTGTGATGAGCATGGTCATTTTTTCTGTGTAAGTGTATAAGTATGTTTATCAGCAGTCTGGTTACCATAGCACAAGCTCTGCTATGGTAACCAGACTAGACTAGTCTGGCATCAGACGGCCGTGTGTGAAAATATTATTATATTATGTTACAATAGCTCATTATTTACTCCTAATACTGGGTAAACAGGGTTTATTCCTAGTCTAAATAAACTTAGGTGTAGGAATGGAAAAAACACAAAATGGATTCTAATTGGAATCAACACCTGATGTTCATGATTATGGTAAATAGATTAATAATTATAGAATTCACAAGCTGAAGGTGTTTTGTATAAATGATCCAAAAAGTAAGGTTATTTCTAAAGCTAAAAAGGTTATAACTTATTTAGATTTATTAAGATTATATAATATTTATTGTGCAAAAACATAAGACAACACATAAATAGGTACCTTTACATAATAAAATAAGGAGAAATCCGAAACAATTCGAAATTCAAATCTTAAAGAGAAGAATACAAAGTTTTTAAATAGGCATGAATTAGTCACCCTCTACTTTAACTAATTGTAAGTCATAAAATTCCTTCTATAGTACCTACCAATTTAAAATCAGCAACGACTGAATCACTTCACACATCTCAATACCAAGGTTAAACAGCACACCACACAATATCCAACTTGGCTGACTAAAGACATGTTAAGGCAGAGCGCCGCGTACCACCAAATATAGTCATTTTCATCGCATTTTTGTCACTTTAATCACTATGACATAATACACCGATAATATTACGGTAAAGGATCGTTGTAAACAATAACCTACAGATCTTACACCTACACCGTAAACTATTTGTACAACATTTAACAATCTATAAATAATTCCGAGATTCTCACCTGTTGAGCGACTGGCTCCAAAATACTTTCGATAATCTTCGTGTGAAACACCGGCATTTTGTATAAAAGACACTTAAATTACATTAATAAAAAACACAAATAACAATGATCTCACACAATATTCACAAAATAAAAATAACACAACCGAACGAGACGAAGGACAGAAAAATACTGACGATTAGAGCTGCGCTGCGTTCTCGACCTTCTTGAAGACATAACACGTATCGATACCGATACAATAGAGTGATGACATTACCAGGTTCGCTTTCTTTTTCGACATAATAATGTCGAAGTGATAATAATCACTTCAAATATTGAATAGGTACTAAGTGTCTGTAAAGCGATAATAAGGAACAATAATCTTAGGTCATAAATACTCGTTTTAATTCTCTATCAACACAGTAATTCTTTAACTTAGATCATAATTTTATTAAGAGTTCGTTTGTAGTTGAACATCTGTTATGAAAACTTTTCCAATAAGATTTTAGTAAAATGTATACTCTCGATCGTAGGCACTAGGTGCAGCTTGTTGAAATACATTATGAAATCAAACTTACTTGTACTTATATTCCATTGTTTAATTTAATTTGACCTGACCAGTTCCGTGAAATTACATTAAAAGTGTAATATAAGCAGGTACAAGTGAGTTTGATTTCATAAATATCTGTTTTTTTTTTTCAACCTTTTGATTTGATCCAGTCTAGGTTTCGCAAAAGTCTAGGTTTCATAATTAGAGCATAGCATCAATTTAAAAATGTCCAAGTTATAATAGAACTATACAATACGTACGTGCGGAGTAAGTTAAAGTTTAATGCCTTAGTATGGATACCTCGAGAAACCTTGTATGCAGTGATGGTGGAAAAAATTCAACGTAGGTTTGCCCGATATTTGTACAAACGCCAATATGGGTACTACCCATTTCTTTACCCATCAACATTTCTATCAGGCATAATTGATCTAGATACCCTACAGTTTGGGCGAGAACTTAAGCATACCTATCACAAATTAGTAATTTTTGATAACTGACAAAGTAGATAAGATGCAGTACGTGAGCCCATATATTTCTATGTACCGGACCAATTCATGAGAGGCATTGGTAAGCGACAGCACAGACTTCTCTGCCATCTGCCAGCGTGGCCGTCAGACTTTTATCCTGTTTCCTAGAGGCCAATCCAGTGACAGATATATTTTTTGACAAACCTAGCGTAATGTATAGCAATGTGTTACTCTTCTCAGATAATATAGTAAGGTAAGGTACAGGTATAGGTAGTTAAGTTTCATCTTAGTGATATTGTTGCGCCATAGGATTAAATGGCTCGTAACAATATTAAAAGATCTCTTTATAAAATTGTTGTTGGTGTTCAATCACGATTCACGATGAATTGTAATAAGCTGTATTCTTCATTCCTTAATTTTTCATTTTCAAATAGGGAATATGCACGTGACACCAAAATGGACAAAATATTTTTATTTGTAAATTTTATTGCTAAAAAAAGATACCCATACAATTATTTTTGAAATTTATTATAATTTAATAGTGAAATTTAATCATCAAAAATTGGCTTTTTTAAGATTCCCTCGCAAATTTCTAAAACGCAACGCTATTGGTTGAATAAAACGTGACGTCAACCTACACTGTCAAGAGTGTCAACAAGTTGTGTGTATTTGTAATATTTGGTTTCTGGTGATTATTTGTTTCATTTTAAGTTAATAACTAATACGTTTTCAGTGTTAAATGATTAAATTCCCGTGTAGAAAGACTCAACACAATGACTGAATATACTTTGTCAGGTGCAGTTTTGATATTATTTGGGCACAAAGGAACGGCACAATATTTATAATAAGTTTTTATTGGCTTTTCCATGGTAATAAGTTAATTTTTATCACTCACTTTTTTAACTTTCACAAACTTTGTGAACTTCACTCCGTTGTTGACATCGAATTCGTCTGAAAGTGTAATCTGACGTAAAAAAAGCGCGCCAAAATGGACGTGTTCAAATTGCCCCAAAATGATAGTGATTTTAATAAATTTTTTTTTGCTTAACGGTTTATATTTCGGATGTGATATATATTTTTTTGGTAATGTAATAACTAGTAGAATCGTTTAAAAAAATAAAAAAAATACATGCATATTCCCTATTGCGGTTGCGGTAAATGGAACCAAACGAGAAGTATACTTTATATGTACATGTAAAGAATCAGTTCAAAAGTGACAGAGTTCTGAGGCCTAATTGAGTTACCTACTTATTATTTTAAAATGGGTTATAAAATATAAAGTAACAAACCTCTCGTGTAGGTATATTTCTAGAATAAAATGTGAATTGTTCCGGTTCTAAAAGCCACCAGTTGTATCAGTGAAAGGTGCTATTTGTTATACTCCACTCCTCACACTCACGCCATTCCCACAACATTAATGTACAGTGTAGATATTCTATATTATTTCAAATGCTGTTATTATCTACAGGGTTTCATGAACTGAGAAATATTTTGTTGAGATTTAGGGGTAAAAAATACAATAATTTCTGTAATCAAATTCTCTATTACGCAATCAACATTATAAATAAATCTTATATCTATTAAGTCTTTAAAATGACGTGCGAATAGACAAAGTTGTTTTTACACAGGGCTAGAAAAAAGGTACAGCCAGTAACACCAGTAACATAATTAAACTTCAACAAGAATCGTAGGCGGTTGCTTTAATCAAACAATCGTTGTTTGCAGCTAACTACCTACGTAGTTTTACCATGTAATATTTACAAATTAAGTATATAAACGTCAAAGTATTAACATTTTAAAATTATACAACCTTTATCAGCTAAGTTCGTCGAAGAACGTGTACCAATTCATTTTTAATTTTAAATATTTTGATGAAATAATCTCGTTGTTAAAAACTAGTCGTTAGACCGAATCGTGAAATGGAGAAGGCGGGAGTGGACAAATTCTCCGCCCGCCGCAAATGGAACGTCAAACGGAAAAAAATGCTCTGAGAATTCTTTCAGGCGCTATATTGTTATTCGAATATATTGGGTTAAACTCACACAATCTACCTTTAGTCAAATTGTATAAGTACCTACCTATATTACATAGAATTCTGAAGTATATTCATTTGTGATTGTATTCAATGACACAATACAGGTACTATACTTAAAAGGCTTTTTTGAAGGTTTGTGAATTTAACACGTCTATTCCAAAACTTACATAAAATTTACAAGTTAACGTTCTTCAACGAACTTAATTTAGTTTTTGATTGATAGGTATAATATCACAAAATATGAACAGTGCCCACGATTGGGATGTGACACCATTGTGCAATAGAACAGATCCTGTGCAAGTTTTTTTTAGTTGTCTATACACTTACATGTAGGTACCTAGTATATTTTCGATGTTATTATTTTTTATAAGTCGTTATATACACAATTTACTTTGTAGACCCGTGAGCGAACTTGTCGATAAAATTTATTTCACTTACATTACACATAAATTTGCAACTATCACCAGACACATGTACCTCAAAATAATAGAGCTATTATTAACCCTGCTACACAACACACATATTGGCGCCGTAAGAAATAAAGGGTTAATTTTATTGAGGCTCTTAATAAACTCAAGTAACAGCGGTTTGGCATTTAATACTGACTTTCTTTAGGACAGTTACAATTACCATAATATTTATTTAATAAGTGAGGAGTTTGGTGCTTAAGAAAATATAGGTTTTAGTTTTAAGATTTACACATTTAACTAACCGCAAATATGACACAATTTTTCCTAACAACAAGCATTCCTTACAAATACTCAACTATATCACACTTTATTGATATATTAGGACAGCTCACACCGTAACTAAGATTGAGCCCATGAGGCTGGCTCTTGTGCCGCTCGGTGAGTAGTTTGTGGAAGATGGGAAGGATGGCGCACTCGAACAGCTCCGACTCTGAGCTCGCGGTGTACATCTTGCGCTGGTCCACTGACTCTTGGCGCTTCGAGTCGGTCCTGTACGTCGCTGATTTCCGTTCTTCACGTTTGTGCGGGGAATCTAGAAAATACAGAAGATAGTGAAGCTTATTCTCACTCTGGCTCTCACACTCAATATTTTCGTTGTATATTCCATTAGAAATTTAGAATTTTATTTTTGAATGCATGCTGGTAAAAAATCATATAACTTTAGGATTACCACGATACAATCAGTTTTACTGACGTTATGTGGTCTAAAATTAAAGAACTATGACAACAATTATAAGCCTAAACTTTTGTGGGTCGGGAAGACAAAGTAAAGTAAGAAGAAGTTAACTTACCAGTTTTATGTCTAGACGCTACATTAGGACTGCTCTTATGATGATCAGGCCTCGGCTGATGCGTAGCCTGCGTTAGTCTCGGCGAGTCTCCCACGCCCTTCGCCCTTTTTAAAGGCTCAGCTTCTTGCCTTAGCCTCTTAGCAGGAGAATCCTGACCTTTTGACACTCTGATCGTGTCTGGGGCTGGTTTATAAGAGTCAGACTCTAAACTTGACTCCTGGACCGGAGCAGCCTTTCTAGGAATATCATCGTGTCTTCTTGGCGTTGCTTCAGATTTTTGAAACCTTTCCTCTTGATATGGTCTGACCTTAAATACAAAAGTGTCGTTTAAAGTCTAACAAAAGATTCATGTTAAATTAGCTTTTATTTAGTTTAGGTATTAATAATAGTTGAAAACAGGAAGTACTTTAAGGAAGTAAGATTTATCGTGGGAGAGCCATGCTTCGGCACCTATGGGCCGGCTCGACCGGAGTGATTCCACGGCCTCACAGAAAACCGATGTTAAGCAATTCTTTCGTTGCCTTTCACTGAGTGAGTGAGGTTACCGGAGCCCTAATCCCCCCTCCCGCTGACTTGAGCGGGAGGAACTTCAAGGGCAGCAACGCGCTTATGACTTTTGAGTTGCAGGTGTCCATGGCCTGTGGTAGTTACTTACCATCAGGTGACCCGTCTGCTCGTTTGCACCCTTATACCATAAAAAAAGTCCTTATATTAATTTAGATGGGTCTTTGCCGAAGGTCACAACATAAACAATAGTCTAGTACGGTTCGAGCAATCGTTATGTTTTAATAGGGAAAGTGCCATTAAAAGTTACTCACTTGCGCTGCAGACTGTCTCCTTTTGATTTGAGTTTGTTGTGGAGGTGTGCTTACAGGCTGAGGAAATTCTGACCCTCGGCGCTGAAACATCACAATAGATTTTTATTGGCTTTAAATCTGGTTTACATTACCCCTATGGATAAGAAAGAAAAATAGACTTTGTTATAAAACTTGCAAGGATAAAAATATAGGTAATGTTTTCTTATTTTGTAATACTTCACCTTTGATAACCTGTCAGTCATTCTGAGGGTTTCTGCTTCCCGATATCCTTCGGGAGTGCCCCCTCTAGTTGTACCTGCTGGGAGTTTTTGTTTATTTAATTTCATTCACTGATAAATTAGTAAAAAGTAAATAAATAATTTATTGCTGTGAATTTATAATGGCCATAGAACCGTAAATACACTACTGATTACTTACAGTAGTTTATGGAAGCATTTGAAGCTCTTCTTTCCACGCTCCTTGTATCTGTTTCCCTGAAACCCATTAATTCTCTATCAAAACACTATCCCTAATACCTGCACTGCTAAAGACCTACGATCTTAACCCACCTATGATGATGTGGCGAAGACTGCGACTGTCTACTCTTCTCTGATACACTCCTTTGCATTGGAGAATGATGGTGACCTTTGGATAAAAAATACATTATACTTATATTGTTGTGAAGATTTCTGTCATCATAGTGTTTATAGGACTTAGATCAGGACAGCGTTCGTCTTGAGAGGCCTTTGTCAATGAGACCATGGAGTAAAGCAGTTTTTAAAACCACCATGTGTTCGTTTTTGTGCCTTCTAAGAAAGACTTACAAGTAATGTATGTAATAAAAGTAAAAGATCAAGTATTGTTTTTTGTTCAAGTGTTTCCTTTGCATCTAGTTCCAGGCTATCGGTGTAGTAGTAGTAGAGTAGTTCTCGAACTGTACATTTAATGGATTTCCAAGTACTCGGTGTGGTTAAAAGTCATTAATTCAAGTCGCACCTCCACTCAGATGACGTCACAAGTCAAAAATCAAATTATCAATTAAAAAGGCGTTTAATGTTAGAAGAACAAGTTAGAAGCTTGCTTACAAAAACTAAACTAAGTTTCGAGAAATAAAATATAAAATTTTGACGTTGTAAAGCGGAGGTGCGCATTAGTGTTTTATCACCGTGACTGGAGGCAGTAGGCTGCTGGATGTGTTAACTCAATCTTCAAAGTCACCGTCGTTGAAAATAGTAATTACGTAGAATATACATACACTACTCTACTTGTTTCTACTTCAAAAGTTCAATCAACGCATTGTCAATGAAAGTGGGAAAAGATTTACGCAGGGTAGATATGGATATCCACATCAACATTACTCTAAGGATCTACGTGATTCTAAAAGCAGTAAGACTTACAGCAGTTTGGTCAGAAGATGATGAAATGGTTCTAGGCTACCTCCATCTTCTAAGGTCCTACATAAATCAATAAAATGTTTTTCACCTGTAGTAATCTCACCTTGCGGTGATTTTTGACAAATATACTGAAACGTGTTCGTATCCCACAGGTCACTTTGTACTACTATAAAGCTCTCTTTTTTTCTCTTCTCTGAATCTCTTCTTTGACCTGCAAGAGATTTGATTTCCATTGAAAATGTATATTTGTGAGAATGTCTGGTAAACTTTTTGGTATTGCGACTCTCCAAAGATATTCTTGGTATTGGCGCAAAGTCTTGGAGACACTGGAAGACTGGTTACCGCTACCTGAACTACCCGACATTGCCGCGTTTACCATGTAGTACAGATAAATCAGAGAATCGCAACACCTAATTATAACAAGGGGTTAGTAACGTTTTTGAAACCCAAAATTGTGGTTGGTAATTATAAGTCACAAGTTCACAACGATTATTTAAGTAAAACATTCCGGGACTTGGGGAAGAGGTAAAAACGAGAAGATCCGAATATATATCGTACCGTGATACTTGCAGATTAGAGGCCTTGATGGTCCTCGGATTGGATGCTACCCTATGACAATATAAAGAGCGTAAATAATTTCGACGATGAAAAAACTCAGGTCCCTAATAAAAGAGCATATTTCCCTATTAGTATACCTTGCATCGAAAAAAACCTATACAGAAACTTTGCATACAGTCAACTTACATGATTTTCTCCTTTCTGTTGATGAGTAATCATCTACGTCGAGAATGTCTTCTGGCTCCTGTTTTACTAGCGTTGGTTTTAAAGGGAGAGGCGGGTCTCTTTCTTGACCTAAAATTTCAATGATCAAAATGACACGCTTGCTCATTACTCTATATTGGCAAAAAAAACGATGAACCGTGAAGGTGGACTGACTGCTAGCATGTTTTAAAGCAATAGCATTACTGCATGAGTAACTTTACAAGAATACCTCTATCATATATACCTAATACTTATTCTATGTAGCTCAAATAAGCCAAATCTATTTCTTGGGTCTCACCTATAACTTTCCTCTCCATCCCTGGCGGTGGTTCAAGGTCATCCTGGTCTATAGACACGTGCATTATGTCTGTTAGGAGTGCTCCCTGACTCACACTGGACATCCTCCTGTGTCCTTTGGATGAAGATTTGTGCTCTCTAGACGGGGTCGTCTTTGTAGATATTGGTTCTTGGGTTTTGACTGTTTTCTTTTGTAGTTCAGGTGTCTGAAAATAATTAAGCAATCTATAGGTTAATGCAAGTGTTTTTAAGGGACGATGCACAATTCTTACAAAATGGTATATGACGACTGTATAGAGTTCGGCTTTATGTTGAGTTGTATTTAGTTTTTTGAGGTATTTTAACTAGAAAGATGGAGCATTATTCTATTAGTTTGGAAGTTTGCCCATCAATAAGGTCGCCATCGACGCTCTATTGGTTGGGAACGTCATATTAATGGTGTAAGTATAGTCGTTTTGTACACCTCTCTTTATAATGATAAGTACAAAAACTTTCGAAGGAACTTTTTGAAAGCATGTCAATTCCTTATATAATTTAAAAACTATTAATTGACTAAAATAATGAGGCCTATCATCATTTTTGGTATGAGATTTATGGATTCATATATTTATTAATGATATGACAGATAAAGTCATGTGGTTAAAACAAAAAATACCTTAATAATTTTAGGTGTAGCTGCTTTAGTGTACATGGGCTCTTGCACCTTGGCTGGTACAGACTTAGCGGTGGACGTGTCACTTGTCTTCAGAGCGGGGATGGTCTTCGCTTCTGCCTTCGCTGGTTCCGAAATTTTCATTACTATCGGAGGTTCTGGTGGTTCCTTAATAAGGTATATCACTTAATAAGTTACCTCTAGTAATATCGCAAGATATATAGATACAACGCAAATCTCTTGCACTCATGGTTATTCAACAAGTAAAATGTTAATAAAAATGAATAGCCCAAGTATGAATATTATTGATCCAATTAATCATATAATAAAAAGTTCGTATGCCATTACTGTACAGAGGTAAACCCTTTGCGCATAAATAGGCATTTATCTTACTTTAAGGGATGAATGAGAATAGGTAGTAATAATAAGTTCATCATAATCATCCTTTACTAGTCCACTGCTGGACATAGACCTTCCTTAGCAAGGAGGTTTTGGCCTACTATACCTACATCGCTGGCCAAACGAGTAATAATAAGTAGCTCACGTTCAATTTTAGTATTCTTAAACAGAAAATATGTCGCTGTACCTCTGTACTCCAGCCGTAAGGCAATTTTGCAAGCTGATCTTTTTCTGGCACCGCTTTTGATGAGGGTGGGCTAGTGTAGTCCAAATGGTTTTTGAATGAAACATTCTTAGTCTGTTCCTTCTTAGGTTCTTTTGGAATAATCGGTTCCTTTATTGCAGGCTCTGGAGGGGCTGAAGGTTTGGGCCTGAAATAGATGTAACCATAAAGAAGAGAAAAGTGAGTCGTTACAAATCGCATAAGAATGAAACTTAACTTTTTAAAAGTATCACTGACTTTAATGCGTCTACATCATATTATAAACTGTATTCCTCATTCCTTCATTTTCACCTTACGGGAGGTAATTTAAAAAATCATCAAAATTAAAAAAATATCAAAAAGTTCAATGACGGAGTTCTGAAGTAACAAACATAAAAAAAATACGACTGACATGAGAACTTCCTCGTTTATTTGAAATCTGTTAATGTAAATTATAACTTAAAAAACTTTAAAAAAAATCCCAATGAACTAAAAAGTAGAAAATTATTTTCTAAAGTTCAAATAGAAAAACCATTCTATCGTAAAAATGCTTGGGGTGGTAGATGTCAAGTGTTGTAAAAATACTTTATTGACATGTATTGGTAAAAGAAAATAGCATACATAGATACATACCAAGCTAATAAAAGCGTGGTAAAAAGAAATAAGGAGTGGTCAGACTACTCACTTGTCAACAGAGTGCTGAGTAGTGAGGTTGATGTACTCAGCCTCAGCGCCAGCTGACGCGCTGAGGCTGCACACTGAGGTAATGTCGCTTGTTTCTAGAACATAGCAATTATCAGTCACGTCATCGCCATCGAAACAAGGAGAAAACAAATGTCACGAGTTTTTTTAATATTTGACGGGCCTGGTGCTCTAGTGGTTAGTGACTCTGACTGCTAAGTCGGCTCGTGGGTTCGATTCCCATCCAAGACAAATAATTGTGTGATGAGCGTCATTTGTTCTGTGTGTAATTTGTCTGTAATATGTACGCAATTAGAAATCTGTAAGTATAAGTATCTTTAGCAGTCTGGTTACTATAGCGCAGGCTCTGTATAGCTTGGGATCAGACGGCCGTATGTGAAATGACTTGTGACAAGTTATTTTTATGATAAAGGGTAAAGTATTAATTACAGAACGCTGTGTCTGGTGCATACCGGGTGGTATGTTTGGTACTGTAAGACGTGTAAGAAGTGGATGGTACACTACTTACTTTTTACACGACCATTTAAAAAAAGGGAATGTAATCAGTTTCAGGGTTAATTGCATATAAATTTCTACTAAAACCATGAGCAGATTTGGGTGTAGGATAATATAATTGGAATTCTTGTATTATCTCGACTGACATCGGCTATGATTTTTGAGAAAGTAAAGAATATGGCGGTTGATTGCCGCTACTTCATTATTTGACAACTGTTTATTATATTTTATTTAAATAGTAATCTTTATATGATTACAAGACAGTTAAGTATTGTTATTAACGTAGACTTAATCTATAGACATAATGTTATGTACCAGGATGACTAATATTTTCCTTAGGAATAGGCAGCCTGGTTCTCTGCGTGGCTGGTGATCGGGAGTCTCCTCGCGTCGAGGATTCTGAACTGGCATCGCTTCCCAACTTGCTGAGCAGCATCTAAGTGTCATTAAATTATCAATTAACAAACAAATAAAAAAAAAGGAAAATATTATTTATGGTAGGTCGGTTAGAAATAATGACATTTCATTTTTGTTTGTAGTTATGATCAGTGACAAAGTGCTTTCTTATCGTGTTTCACAACACGTTCATCTCCACCGAGGTTGTTATAAGATTTTTTTGACAAGTTAAATGAAAGTGTTTAATACATTAAAAGAAGGAGTTACCTGAAGTTCGTTCTCCTTAGCTTGCAGCGTCCTTCTGTAGCGATTGTTGTACTGTCTGAGTTCTTTCATCCTCCTCTCCAGTTCGGGTCCGGGCGAGCGACACTCGTGGGTGGAGGCGGGCCGCAGCGTGGCGCGAATGCGGCCGGCGCCCGCGGCCCCAGGCCCGTTACGGCGGAGTTCTAGTAACTGGAAACATCAATCATTTATGTTAGTTCCATCAAAAGGCAAAAGCGCAATGGCTAAGGCATCGCACTTAGTATCAAGAGACTGTGGCTTCTAGCCCCAAGTATTGTATATTAGCATTGCCATCACTCCTAGCACAAACAAGGTTTGGTGAAGGGTAGTAGAGCATTGTTAAATTTTTTAATCCGAGTAATCGTTCTTTGCAATCTTTTGCAGGTGTTACTGATGATCAGACCAAAGTATTAACGGTACGAGATTGTGAATTAATAAAGAATCATTCCGTTCTAGCTCTAAAATAATTGTAAAACTTACCTTAGGCACGAAGACCAAACACAGAGTCCCCGTCGTGCAAAATATTATGAAGACAGCGATTATAATAAACAACGCATCCTTGTGGTCTTGCAATACCTGGCAAATTGAAAGACTCGAGTAATCATTTATCTGATATATGAAGAGTTAAAAAGTTTTTTTACTTATCAGTTAGTTTGCAATCCATTGCCAGGAATTTGGAAAAAATACAAGTCGTATTGGTAACATGTCCTTCGGATGACAGTGAACGTTCGATAGAGGCATTGTATTTGGTTTGTGATCATTGAGTTCTAATGTACTATTAGTTCAGTACTTGTAATATACTTTTTTCGACCATAGTAATGCTCACAAGAGTAATGGCAGCGCCGGCGATGCACATCATGAGCACGTTGTACACAGACATGCCGATGTGTTGGGAGTCGTTTAACGCCGGGATTGACACGTGGCGGGTCTCCCACGCCAGGAATGCACCGAACACCTGGTCAAGAAATAAAGTTGATTGTTATTGAAGGCGTTAGCTTATTAAATAATCTTGACCAACTTGTGCAGGCTATTATGTATATTAGACTTACATGCGACTAGAAAAAAAAATTGAAGTTGGTACGAGAAGACTGCGGTTGAAAGAAGCTTCTTGCGTTAGTACTTTTTAGAGCTACCCATAGAATCAAAATGACGTTGAGTTCCACCGTTAGTGTTTCAAAATGATTATTTATACTAAAGGTTCATAAAATTAGCCGATTTCTGGTGTTAGTTCGTGGTTTTTAGATACTTAGGTATATCAATGGAATTAGTAATTAAAGGATGAAGAACTTACCAAAAGCAGGCCTTTGTAAGCATAGATGATCCCAATAAATATAGTCATGCGTTCCGACTGGCAGTACTCGTTCTCCTGCACGATGACGATATCTTCGCTAGTCGGGTGCGGCTGTGGATATTGATAGTGATGATTAATAATTGCTCTTACATGCTCATCATTCAAGGAACAGACAGCGATACAGCAATATACCGTTCCCGTAGAGCAAGAATAATATCGGTTTAAAAAGTGAGTATTTAGAAAATCGCGTTTGTATCTGTATTATATATTTTCGTAATTGTTTGGCTGTATAAAGTTTAAGAACGATTAACAATTTTGGCACCGCGCGCATTCATTGGTTAAATAATATAGCGCGTGATCACCGGATTCTTGTTTCCGTCCCTTTACACGAAATCACTACCACAGATGATAGGGAAGCGAGAGGTACACATCATCTTCACATAAGCGAGAGGATCTTACTGTACGTGGACGATAGAAATATTAGAAAGGTAGAATCTAATAAAATATAAAAGTAACATAAGAACCTACGTATGGATCCATTTGCTTAGTCGCTCGGTAGAAAGGATCTGAAACCTGCCACGTGGTCATAATGGCCAGGTCGATGGCCAGGAGGACGCCCACCACCATAAATAGCTGGTAATCTTTTATGACCTGTAATTTAATTTTAATAAATAATTAATGGTAACACTAGCTCCGCTTCATTGGCCATGGTTATGGATGAATAATCATTTTAACGCATCTCACCTTCTTATTTAATTTAACGTCAGTGAAGATCGAGTGCACTCTCCAGGTCTTGGAAAACATAGCTCCGAAAGCTAGGCTGAATCCCGCCATGAGGAGCCAGGCCCTGGCCGTACAGATGTACGGGAACGCCGCTGTGGGTTTAGAAGCATTCGTATTGAGGTACAGTTGGTAGAAATATCCAAAGAAATTGAGATTACAGAAGCTCTGTGTATGTACAATGTCGAGGCCTTACTTGACTTAATATAGGAGACGTCATCCCCGAATGCCTTAATTGCATTTTGTGAATATTATAAAAATTGGACACCTCATAATGTATCCAGGTTTATGTAAAAGTTGACTTCAATTATATAATAGGTCAAGATTAAATGAATTTTAATAATTTATAGAATATCACCGCGATTAAGATCGTGTCTGACTCGTGCACCAAGGGTAACGTACTGTATATAACTGATCCATCTCAGAAATCGATTTTTAAAAGGTTTTAGGAGTGGCAATTTGCTGTTCTAATAATATTCCTCCGTATATATGTCCAAATCAAATTTCAATTGCAAAAAAAAACATAAAATGTGAAATAACAAATTAACGAATTTTAACTTTTTGATAAGTCAATCACAATAGTTAGTACATTATTAAGTCAAGTCATTATTAACTTCCATTGACTGTTTTTTTACAGATTCAAGGCTTCAGCAAATTAATATTTTGTTTTAACATTGTATTTCTACGCGGTTCAAAAAAAAATGTTTCACTGACAGACGAAACATGATCCCATAAGAATGGCCCTTTGAGGAATGGAACCCTAAAACAATAAATAAAAATAGTCATTATACGAGTAATAGCAGTTATAACTTACAATGAATACACAAAACAAAGGATGGCCTACTAGGTACTATTAGGGCCTAAAGTATGAAATTGTCGTAACATATTTATTTCACAAAAAAGTTACCCTCATTATCTATACATTGCTGCTATCTAAACGCAAGTTCATTTATGCATTTACGATAGAACTCTGTTGATTTAGATTCGACAAACTGTGTGAAAGCATTTTGTACTGCCTCCTGGGAAGATTTTTTTTATCACGTAGAAAATTATGCAAATGACGAAAAAAAGTAGTCCATTGGAGCAAGGTCTGGCAACTACGGAGGATTACGTAGGGTTTCTAACTGCAGCTCCTGTAGAGTTATAACGGTTTCTTGTGCAGTGTGAGGTCTGGTGTTATCATGGAGCAATAATGGTGAAGATCACGAGTCGGGGCTGTTTTAGTGCCAGTTTCCCCATCATTGTTCGAAGTTCGGCATAGTAAACATCTGCTCTTATTGCCTGACCAGACCTGAGAAAGCTATAGTGAAATTAATAAAAAATTAATTAAAAATTCAATGGCTGACCCCAGGTCAAACGCCGTAACCGTGCCCTAAAGCAAAGCTTACCAATAAAAAGGTAGTGGTAACTGTTTGCTGGTCTCTTCATGGTGTTTCTTTTATGTTTCTTTTTTTTACACCATGAAGAGACCAGCAAACAGTTACCACTACCTTTTTATTGGTAAGCTTTGCTTTAGGGCACGGTTACGGCGTTTGACCTGGGGTCAGCCATTGAATTTTTCGCTTACGGTTATCGTAAACAATCCAAACTTCGTCACATGTCACAATTCGATCCAACAAATTCCTTTATTTCTGTACCGATTCAACATAGCAAAACAAGTTTCAACACGCATTTCTTTCTGCAGATCAGTCAAATCATCAGGCAAACATTTTTCATTTCTTTTTTATCTTATTGATTAGATGCAAATGAGTCAATATTGTAGGTAGGATAACGTTAAACTATGCCGCTAATTCCCGGGTGGTATGACTCGGATCGGCTTCCGCCATTTCATTCAATTCAGCGTTACTCACGTGTGGGCGGTCTTCCACGTAGTTTCCGCCATCTTTCCGCCATCGTTCAACACGGCAAAATTTTCATCCTCATCACCTGGATAGTTGGCACTCCACTACTGTGCACTATTCGAGATACTTTTTGCCCCGCAAAACTAATCTGTGGAACGGGTTATCGTCTGCGGTATTTCCGGACAGATACGACTCTAGCGTCTACCTAAGAGCGTACTCGTTCCTAAAAGGCCGGCAACGGCTCCTGAGTTTCAGACGTTCATGGGCAGCGATGGTCACTTTCAGTCAAATGACCCGTCAGCTCGTCTGCCCCTCTAACATTAAAAAAAGATGACGTTTCACCTCTAAACGGTAAAACGGTTAAACCTCAAACGCACGGTGGTTCATTAGGAGTCTCATTCCAAATGCAGCGTTGATATTGCGAGCCGTTTCTGCCGCGTTAGTTCTGCGTCGAAATTCGTATTCAAAAATGACTTGGATTTTCGGAGTATCCTTCTTTCACCAAAACAATTGAAAGTCGAAAATCGAATGTTGCACATTTTTTCAAAGAATAACCTCATAGGTATCATGTGAAAAAGTTTCACACGAAAATTTTACACTGTGAAGGTTTTATGTGAATTCAAAGTATCTATTACTATAAAACGGCAATTTCATACTTTAATCCCTATTTTTTATCTGTTCTGTAGGTATTTATGGGTAAAAGTAGTTTCTGACAGACAACATTTTCGTGGATATTCTCGATAAATGCTGGACCTCGTCTCTGAATTTAAATTTTGAGACAAGAACATCGCTAATAATTATAATTTCATATCACACATTTAAATATATTTATTTATTTACACTGGTGTTGCCAATTAAAAATAACACATGCTGTTTATCAAATGAGAAATTAAACATTTAAGTAACACATTAAAAACAATATTTAAAGTAAATAAAATTTTAATCCTACTATACTCTACATATTTGAAAGAAAGTAATAAGTAACGAATGACACCACAGACAAAGAAAAGTACAGACCAGAGATATATTAATTTAAGTAATAAATTTTAATATAATACACAACTTTGGTCGGTATATAAAAGTAGCACATAGACAATATAAGAAGCTGTAGTGGTAAGACTGAGACATACCGATCAACCGACCAAAAGCATCGCGGATGATGTAAAGGAACAAACAAACCAAAACTTGGAAACATGCTGACGACTCCTCGGACCTAGAAAACCGCCTAGGTCTTTCTCAGAATTAAATACCAAGGTAAGGGTTAGTTCCCAAAATTTGGTTGAAGGATCCATGTCACAGGATACAAGCTGAAGCTTTGGGGTGGGAGCAAGCGTTTACCTCCACGCGGCGTGTCCTGAGAAAGACCTAAGAACCAATGGCAATGATGAGATCAGATGATAAAGTAGCGTGGATATGAACGTGCTAGCAACATGCGAATTGAATGTGCTCTTTTATTTTATTTTAGTCGTTTAGATTTCATTTTTAGTTCACTAGTGAGTTGCATGAGCTAAGCGAGATGGTAAGTGGTAGCAAATGTAACAATGCGCGTATTTTCTGATTTGTATTAGTTTCAGAAATTATATCGCAGCTTCTTACTTAGCTATAAAAACAGTTAAATTGTAAATGCTCTAATGTTGCTTTCAATGTTCAGTACTGGTAACATTTGGTATTGCCACTTAATTAATTCTTATATGATACGATCACTCACAATTTCGTACTTAGAATTCTTGGCATCTGCTAAGTTCTTTAGATTAATAATGATGGATATGATTACCTTCGCTTTCCAAGTAAGTTTAAACACAAAGACATTTATGAGGCAAGTAAACATTTAGCCAGTTTTATTTCAAGACTACATACCGATGGAACTGAGGCTGGAGTCGAGCCCCAGGAAGATGACGCTCAGATATGTCAGCATGCAGCCAACAATGATCAAGTTGTTCAAGTGCGGGGATGACATCTTGATGTATCTGTAAATGTAAAGGGAGGGAGTATTAATAAGTATTAACGAATGAAGAACCTAAGTGAGTCTGCATTATCAACCACGTCGTACCTTTGGTTTCTGTAGTGTATATTCATGGCGAGGAAACCAATGGCAAGTAGGATGCCCAGCACTGAGCATGATACCAAGATGGAGTAGATTGTGATGTTCACCTGCGTGTGCTCGATCAGACGCAAAGTTCTATCTTTTGGAGGATTCCTGGGCAATAAGAGAAATGATTTAAATGAAAACACCAAACGTACTAAAGTAGTGTGATGACTAAAATGTGTATCAAAAGAGTGCAATATTTGTGACAGTCATCATCGAACCTGATAGATAATTTGTATACGTACTTGCCAATCCATCTAAACGCTTCTCCACTCATAAGGTCCAAATGATCTCTTTCTGCACAGTACTCTCCAACCTTCACTTCTCCTACTCCTTCACCTTGGAACTGCTTCAGAAGAATAGATGCCTTGCGTTCATTGTCGTAGAAACGAACGGGACCCTAGAAAGAGGCAATTACAATTGTTTGTCAATGTTTGCCAACTTCACATGATTTTGATCCTAATTTTGTATCGATGATGATGAAAGAAGATAATGAAATGAAAGAAAATATTTCAGCCACTTACAGTGACCCCTTCGAAGGTGACGTTACTGAGCGCTTCCAAAAAGAGTAGCTCCCACTCCTTGTCCCGGTACTTGAAGTCTTGGACTGTTTTCTCTTTATATTTCGACTTGACTCTTTGAGCCACCGTTTGAATTGCTAACGCCATAGCCCATATGCCTTTAAAAATAAACTACTTACTTAGTGCTTTGTTTCAGCCTCAGATTGTTTTTATGCATAAAAAGATAATGCTCACCGTCGTATGTGTAACCATGAAACCTAGAATATTCAAGGCCTCGCCTTCGATCATATTCAACTTGATAATCCTTCGCCGTCTGTAAACAATTGGATAGAGAATTGTTATCATTTTTCCGAGCCGTATCTGGATTGCTGATTGTATTTATTATACTAAAAATTTAATTGAAATTATTTTTGAGCCATTATGCCTGAGGAATAGTTGCCTTAACCAAATAGATTATAACCGTATTACTCACAATGCCGGATACCGTGGAGTCGCCTGTGGTAGATAGTGGCAGGAGGTCAGTCAGTATGGTCGTATCCAGAGCAGCGGTCAGGTTTTTCCTGGAACAGGGAGCTCGGCGGTGCCACCAGTTGTTACTGTACGTGCCGAGCAAAAGCCAGGTGTAAGCTCGGCCGTACATATCTAAACTGAAAATAGTTATGAATAAAATATACGAGTTTTCATAGAGGATGAGGGGCAGTTATTCTAATAGTAGAACTAAGTAAAAGATGTCGTAATATTGCAAAAAAAACGATACTTAACAATGCAAGTATCTATACATTGTATACCACCCCCTGTACGCTTAGGTAACGCTTAGGGTGTCGGTTGACATGCCACCGACAGGTGGTATCCGAGGGGATTTCCGCACGGAAAAAAAAAAAAGGTACATCAAGTTGCATATTCTCTGTTAAATGTTAATTTATTTATAACTTCTTGCACAAATATGTATATCGCGGACTTGATGCCTAAGGCATTCTCTGCTAGTCGACCGATTAGGCGATGCAGAGAAGGTATGAGGTAGGTGCACTTATGGGAGGTAATAAATGATGGGCTTTTTAAGTATCCTCTATTTTTTCCTTGAAATAGACAAAAATCAGCAATAATACATACACATACCCAAATATACACATGCATAATATTGTAATAAAATGTAATAATTGCAGATGATGAACTAGGAGCCTGTGGACTCCGCCAATTCGCCCTACAACAGCTCCTTTACTTTTATCTTAAAAGAGTGACGATTTGTAGCCATACTGACGGGAAGCGCACTCCACAAGAAGATAGACTGAACAAAGAACGACAGAGGACAAACCCAGTAGTGTGAGAAGAACAAAGTAAAAGGAGATTGTTAGAAGACCGCAGGTTAAATAAGTAGGAGGAGATGGGCCATTAAGGATTGCATATAGGGTTGTGAGTGCGCGCATTTTTCTGCAACCAAGATGCTTGGGAACGAAAACCGGAGACATGGTCATACTAACGAAGATTAAAGATAAATCGAATGCAGTTATTGAGAAGACGATCTTAAAGGGTACGTACGAACGTACGTCGAGTAAAGGGAAGATAAGAGACTGCAGAAGCGTAGTCTTAGTTTTCACGGGGAGATAGTTTTTTAGGCGATATAGTGTTCTGATGCCGGTAACTTGATCGTCCGATTTATATGTCCGATCGTCGAATTTTCCAATTATATTGGACAATTAAATAAGCAAAAAAATTAATCTAGTTATAGCATGGTCGAAATGCGTTTCCGTCAGGTGATACTATGATTTACTTGTAAGCTTCGCAGAATATCTTCAAGGCCCAGGTCTCGTTAAAGTTTCCCAAAATGATCCTAACGTCCTTCTCCTTGAGTTTGGCGAGAGCCGTCTTCACTTCCGTTGCAAAACTTTGTGTCTCTTCTATAAGAAATCCATTAGAATCTAGATCAGCCAAGAGGCGGTTGTGAGCCTGTGGATAAAGAGAATAACTTGGTAAATATGCAATACTTTGTTTGCGATAATTCTAAATTGTTCTATGAGTAACCAGTTGTACTTTTCCAAAGAATTGTCGAGTCATGCTAACATATGTTCCTGTCCAGAAGTAGCAGCCGTGATAGTACGAATAGGATAGAAAATAAAAAAGAATTTTAGAAAAGGGTGAAGACGGTTAAAATTTAGTTCAACGACTGTAAAAATACAGAGCAGGTAGTACGTACATATACCACCGTACATAAAAATGTTCTTATAGTTCACTTGACCCTAATTCTTTAATTAATATAATTTAATTTCATCATATTTAGTGAACAGGTTTTTATTGATATTGGCATGTTCTCCGCTTAGTGCGCGCTCCGGCAAAAGATTATATAAGTAATGTGACTACAGCCACCCAAAGGCGACCCAAGACTCACACGTGCATTGCTCCCCTTTTAATCTCTCTTCGCCCTCCCCCCAAAATCACGGCTAAAAAAGCTACGAATGTACTGTTTAACACCGGTTTTCTGTAAGGACGTGTTATCACTCCGGTCGATGTGACGTGTTATCATTTGTGCCGAATAGTGGTTTTCCGACGGTAAATACGAATAAACTATATTAAATATAAAAATACATGTTGTATGTTTATATTTAATTGCTTTACAGTGATAGGTACAAAGAGTATGTACGAGCATATAGATATGGAAGTATGAGGCAAGATATTGACACTCACCAGCGCGTATCGCGGTTCATTCTGATAAATGGTTCCAACTCTCGTCCAGTTGAAGTGTTGAAGCAGACGTATCCTTGGCAAGTTGAAAGCGTTTTCTGATGGCACTATTCTGAAGAAGTTAGGGAACGCTTCTTTGGTGAACATCGGGTGCGTGTCAGCGTACGAAAGCTGCAAGATAAAACACAAGGAGGACTACCATTCCCAACAACACACACACTCCCGCACACACATACAGACAACGTTATACACACGCACTCTCATAACAAATTATGTAATGATTAATATATTTACTCTCCTATTCATTTAATTTATGGTATCTGAAACCACAGAACCTTTACAGAGAACTTTGGTCTTTGACTTGTTTTTAAGTAAAATTCCAAAAGTCTCATGTCTATTAAATACTCATTCATGTACTAAAATACTTTGGTTGTAGAAGCACTTGTCTTTATTATTATATTATAACATTATTACACCACAATATTAACCAGATCATCGGCCCGCCAACCATCCATTTAAAAAATAGCTCAGTCGAAGTAGAACTATTTTTAATTATTATTTTGTCCATTGATGATCAGTGCAGAGCCCTAAATCTTTCTCAAATATGTAGTCATAACCGTAATGTTAATCTAGCTTACCTAATTTATGTACATATATACAGTAAACGTAACCTAAGCTAACATCCTCCTACCTGTGTGAGGTGCCAGTGCTTGGAGGCTTTAGCGATGGGGTCCGTGACGTGGGTGCACGCGGCGCCGAACAGCATCAGCTTATGCGGCCCGCTGTGCATCATGTCGAAGAATGACTTCACGCCAACCGCAGCGTTGCACTGTTCGACAAGGTAAGGCACACGATAGCACGCTTTCAACATTGCTTAGGATTCGTTATAAATCTTACTTAGCTAGTTACTAGAAAGGAAATCATTTTTTATTCTGAACGCAAGGTAAGCGTCAAAGAACTAACATGACAATTTAACACATTGCTTCTTCACCAAATTCCATTTTTCAAAAAGTTATTGCGATTACCTTTAGAAATAACCCACTTCAGTTATAAAACCCTACGGTAGCCAGCTTATTACTAATTAGTGTAGTCCGTAGGAGACGGATGATGCCAAAATGTTGGAGTTAATGCTCATTGTAATGACTTCGGAAGAATGGAATGCATTATTTATTTATTTCACATATTTATGTTCTTATGTACATCGGCGGACTTAATGCCCTGGGCATTCTCTACCAGCTAACCATTGGGTGGTGTACAAATCTTGTAAGGTAGGTGCAGGTAGGCATTACCTCAGTGTCGTTCCACCACATGTGCAGGCGGTAGTTCCGGAGCACTGTCTCGTGCTCGTTGACGTGGTCCAAAGCCAGCTTCACGCTGGGCATCACGCCTCGCCCTGCAACGATCGTCAAGTATTGGTATCACCAAGATGGGTACGATCCTTGTCCTTATAAGACCAGTAGTGTCTTTTATTATGGTAACCTTCAGGCACTCGGGACATTACGTTAAATAATACATAGTAGTTACCTCAACGGAGATGTCTTTGATAAATGACTACAGTGAAATTAGTCTCGAGAAATTTTTGCATATGTAGTGGTGTGTATATTACTCAGATCTTAGAGCGCGTTTCCACTATATCGTTCTGGCCTATACAAAAATGTTTCGATATCCTAACATTACTATTTAATTTTATACTTATCCCTAGCAACACTCTGATTTTTGTTTTCAATTAAAACAAGTTTTTATTTTAAAGAAAAAGGTTTTGACTTTATAAAAAAAAGGTGTGTGTGCGATTCACACACGATAGAAGTGAAACTTCTAAGAGGAGAGACCGATATTTTTTTTTTTTTTTTCCCTTTCATCTAGGTTTTTAAAACTCCGGGTGGTCTACGGGGGGGGGGGGGGTCAAAATTTTTGTTATTTTTGGCCTAGGACGCACCGTTTCCGAGATATTTCAATCTAAAGCAAGAAATCGTCACTTGATAGTGGAAAGTGGAAACACGCACAAAACCAGAATAAACCAGTTTACGCTGTCCGCTACCATACATTACTACAAACGCAAAAATTTCTCCAAGCTAATTTACCTGTAAGAGAGTCTCTACTTCTCTTGGTTTTGGCCCGGTGGCCAGCGTGGTATAGTAGACCAAACCCTATAGTGAAACCCTTAGTGGTGAACCCAACCCTATACCAACCCGGTGGTTGGTATAGGGTTTGTTTCAAGTTTTCTACTCTTTAAGTGCTATTGTCCTGGGTAGTTAATCCTAAAGCTTAATTCGTCATCACACGGACAACCTATTAATTGTAAATTAATTAAAATTTAATAATTTTTTCGAGAACCAAGTAAACATGACGTCTGATAGGGGGCTCTCTATAGGTTTTTCTGTATGGTGCTGGTGTTTCGGTACCGAAGTATTTTAATTAAAAGTTCAAACCTCTGTTGCTCACACATCAGGACTCAGTTGTGCTCTAATTTATTCTCCATTAGAACACAATTGAAGATGTACTAAATTGTCTTTCTTTCTTTGTTTTTTTCTAGTTCAACAGGAAACGATAATTTTATTTGGTATTTGTTTGGATAATTAATAATATCAGCAAATTAATGAGTAAATATAAATAGACCTGTATTCGAGTTTTCCACTCCCTTTCCAAAAGGGAAGAACCCGGCGATGTAGACATCAGTTCTGCGGTTCAATATTGCGTCCAAGTTGGGCTTTTGTGGGTGTCCGTGGCTGAAGGCGGCCAGTGCGAGAAGTAGCAGCGTCAAAATGGCGACCGACATGCTGGCAAAAAATATGGATATTTAAATACATATTAATTATTAATAAATTTAGTTATATTATTTTACTAGATTATGTTACTAACTTAAAGAATTGCTCTATTAATATTGTCATTCCTCAGTCGGTTTCAGGTTTTTATGTGTGGCTTACTGGTACTTTAAATAACCACAATAACTTTCATATAAACCAACCCTCCATTTTCTTGAACACTTTGCTCGTCTGTTATGTCCATTCTGCTTTTTATTGCATAGCTGGCAACAGAGCCAACGGGCCACCTGATGGTAAGTGACTACCGCTACTTATGGACACCTGCTACTCAAGTGACGCGGCCCCCTCTCTATCTGCCCCAGAGGGAGTGAGGTTCGAGATTAGGCAGTACGGCACCGACACCGCGGTCGCGCATTTTGCGGTTGTTCCAGCTGGTCTTCTCCGCTCTCGCTCCAGCGCACCACGCGAGTCTGGTCATAGACCCTCGCGTCTATATCCGTCAGAATATCAAAAAGCGGGCAACGTGCCAGGACTTTTGCCGCCTCCGACGAAATGATGCGGTATCCCCGTACGATCCGAATAACCGCTACCTGCTGCGTTTGATGATGCTTAACCGCTACCGGTAGTGGGAGGAGGCTGATAGGCGTTTAGCACATATCGGCGCTCCGTAGAGGGCCATGGGTCGTATCATAGCACAGTAGAGGCGGCGAACTTCCTCCTGTAGACACCCTAGATTAGGCAACAGCCTCTGTAGGGAGCCCACCATCCCGCGAACTTGAGGCTTGAGTAACACCCTTAGTTATACAAGACGGGAAGTATCACGTCCAAAATCGATCGAATTGAATTTATTTGTTAATTTGATTGAGATGGATCGGATAAAGTCGGTTGTCGATGTATTTATAAGCATGATCTGAAAATACGAACTTGAAGCTTCGCAAGAAGCGCACCATTCAGTAGATTCTATACCTACACTTTACATAAGGAAAGATTTGACGACGTTTATCGAACCATTACAGAGATCAATCTTTAGCTCCTCTAAGTGGAGCTGATATTGGTCTCTATTTCTACTGGCTACTCCTTCAACTGCAGCTTACAAGCCTTGCTGCTCCTATGTTAAAAGTAACGACCCGTAAGTATTTATTTCTAGATTTTGCATCAAACTGTTTCTAGAAGGTACACGTCTTAGGATCATCATTACCATTCATCAACAGCCTTTACTAGTCCACTGCTGGACATAGGCCTTTGCTTAGAAAGGAGGTTTTGGCCTACTATACCACGCTGGCCAGACGGGTTGGTGTAGGGTTTGTGTCAAGTTTTCCTTCTTTTTGCAGTGCTGTTGTCCTGCGTAGTTAACTCCCTTAGTCGGCTCTTACGACACCCACGGGATGAATTGGGGTGGTGACATTCCGTGTTCTTACTCCGTCACCACGCGGAATCATTGGATGCATTTACCTATTTCCTCATGGTTTTTACGTAACATGCTAATTATTCACTCAATCTAAGTACTCACCTTTTAACAAATCCTTGAAAAACTATAGTAAGGAAGCCACGTACACGTTCTACGCCACGCTTTTCATCAAATCACTGAGCAAACTACTGCCCCTTTATATTTTCTGACGGATTTTACGAAAATTATCTCGACACGCTCTTGTTTTCTAAATATTTTAATAAAAATCAATGTAAAACGGAAAGCGCAACTTAAACCTAAATTTTCACCTGAAGCGTGAGGCCGGGCGTTGCAACCGAGCCCTACCCCCGACACGAATAATAATCTTTATAAAAAACTGACTTCATCCCTTAGAGCATAAGATTCGAATTCCCGTGACACGTATTTTGTACTACAATTTTTGCAAAGAAAACAGAACACTGTAATCACATATTTTGATTATAGGAATATATGCTTACTGTAAGTCTACAGTAAGATGTTACTTGTATAGTTAGCCTGTACCTTATAGGGCTTTTCAGGAAAAGTCGGCTTGTGCTAACAGATAAAATTAGACTTCAGCGGTGGAAATCGATAGAAGGTGGGTTTTCTGCAGAGGGATGGGAAATGCCAGACAGTTATCGATGCCATAGTCTCAAGAGTCGCTAGCTCGATTCTCGCTTTATATGCATAAACATGTGTACATTTGTTTTTATGGTCATATTCATAATTTTTACTTAAATAAATAATAATGTATAATTATATTAATCGTGTTTTTCATAATAGTTATAGTACTATCGTCTAGAAAGAGCTTTGTAATATCTTATACAATATAATCGTGATTTTATATTATTATCATTAACTATTTTAATTTAGTTTTCAGGGAAGCATACGACCTGACGGAAAACGGTTACCTGTGTCTGAAAACTAATTATTTGCTGCAACTGTTCTTGCCGCCGCGATGCGTTACCGCCCACAATAATTAATACTGCGACTGATGAACTTGTGAAGGGCAATATTTTAAGTTCAAACACAAATCCGAATATTTACCGTTTATCTAACTTACTCTATAATAAATACAGCAGGTACAAAAAATCCTTTCTAAGGAGAGGCCTATGACCAGCAGTGGACCATCAAAGGCTGTTTTTGATGATGATATAGCGACTCAAGTACTATAAGCAACATCGATATCGACAGTGTGCATCAACGTGTTTTTGGAAGCTCTACAGGCAGGTGTGGAACGCATGCGCGGGCCGTACATTCGGGGTGTGTCGCCCCAGCTGCGATACCTCCCGGTCCAGACAGCCATCTCTACGTATAACTATATGACCACCACACACGACTCCACAGCTATAGAGTAATTATGTACTACACATTATGTATGTGTATGGTGACTGGGGATATTTTTATTAACAATTTTAATTTGTTACAAATTAACAACCAACAAAAGTTATTCGAAAAATTGAAGCCATTTTTTAAATTATTGTAATCACGCCGTCCCTGGTAAGGGTATGTGTTCAGATGATCACATGGTACAAGTCGCCCTTAACTTATCCTCGACGATGGGACAAGGCTCAGGAAGATGATGATGACACTTGCAGCAAGAGAAACATGTTCCTTGCCTTTTGCATCTACAATCAGACAACTTCAAATCAAACCTTTTTGACGTGACAACGTCTTATAATTCGATGGAGCCGGCTGCACGCACGAAAAAACATGACTCATGCGGCGTTACCTCGCTCTGAGGCGTTCCATTTAAGGCTTGAAGTGCAAGCGAGAGCGCAGAACGAGCGACAAAGAGGCACAATCGGCCTCCGCGTTCGGCAGCGTTTGACATCTGTCTCTCTCCTACTTGAGTGAGCGATGCGCCCGCGTGGACAGCTGCTATACAATAATACATCTACATGTTTTCGTAAAATGCAACCATTCCATCAGTATTTTCTTATGACGTTGTCACGTTCAACTATCGTCAGTAAACCGACTTTACAGACAACCGATTTCTTTATTAAATTGTGTTCCCACCTCAACAGTTGCAGCTACAGGACGATTGTTAGATTGTTCTTATCAAGATCATCAAATCATAATGGGCAGGGTCAAATTATCTAAAAATATAATCATGACAGTTATAAAGCATAGAGCAGCTAGTTTGCAGAGGTAATTATACCGTGGTTTAGTGGTTTTGGATGTTCGGGCTTATCTCCCGTACCTACAACTGATGCGATTTTAAAAATTCTTTCTCTTTTAGAAATGTATATTATCGCTGAGTGCTATACACTACTTTTTAGTTTATAATATATATGTAAAATAATAAATGTCATCAAAAATTCAATAAAATGCGTTGCCAGAACGGTTTAAAATAAAGGAAGAAGACATATGGCAAAAATATTCATTACTCCATATATCTACGTTTAATATCTCAGCCAAAAAAATGTTTTTATGTGAAGGAAAATGAATTTTAGAAGATTAAGTGTGGATACAGGTTTCACGTATACCTACTTTATAAATTCTTATAAAATGAGCAGTTCAAATGAAAGATAAAATTTCATAGAGATGAAAACGAAAATGAAAACAATAAGCCGGTAATATTATTGCATTGTCGCTGCCGCTGGCCGTGCGGAATATTTGGTTAGACTAGGCGCAGGAGCAACTGTATAAACAGCCGTTTATTTTAAAATCTTAGAAAATGTTAGTGCACTACTTTCACACAAGCCAAAATACCAGCCTTACTTAATGTGTTGAACAGTTGAAAAGATACTATACAAACTAATTTTGCACCCGTGTGAAGCCCGGGCGGGTGTCTAGTTAACGAATAAAAATAAGTAAAACGTGTAAAACAATTGCAAATGCTAAAGTTTGATGTATTGACGTGTTCATCCAAACATAACATTATAGCTATCACCGGTAAACATGATCTATCGTACGTCCATGTATCGCGAGCAACATATTCGTAGGTTTGTAAAACCATAGTGATTTAAGCATAGAGAGAAAAAGAGCCCCAATCTTGCAATAAATACAACGAGAGAGATTAATGCTAGATAGTTCCCTCAATCTGTTTCTAGTCGGGCTCTGTGGTTGGTTGGAGAATAGGAGGGGTTAAAAAAAAATACTGCGTTTTTTTATTAAACTGTAAACTATTTTTAATGAAAAGCTGTAAATTTAAAATGAAACATTGTTTTAAATACAAAGAATTTTACTCTCCTCTGAACAAACATAGTTTTTACACTAGAGTTTAATTCTATCCTCAATCATTTTTATTTATGTAAAATAAGTTTGTCAGACTTATGATATTAAATTTTTAATGCACTGTGTCTCATTTATTTGTTTGGTTGAACTATAAAAAAATATTCTACCACATTCACACAACGCCATCTAGTCCCAAAGTAAGCAGAGCTTGTACTATGGGTACTAGACAACTGATATAAATATACTTATACTTTTTTTTTTGTAAATACTTACATATTATACATAGAAACACCCAGACGCCTATAATTCATTTATTTATTTGATTTAAAATGATTGAAAAGGTAAAACGTCTATTTATAGATATTGCTTTAATTTTAGATTTTAAAATACAGTATAGCTTGATGTTCCAATTCTAAATTGTTTTTTTATCTACAAATTTCTTCAAATTGTTTATCAGTCAATTCCTGCTAACAATTGTTTCTGCTACAAATTTCTACTTGTGCATTTAAACATTTACATGGATTTTAAATGTTTACCTCATTTTTTTCAGCTATGTGTTTTATATACCTTGTTTTTGAATTATTTACATCCAATTTGTTTGTTAATTTCTAATCTCCCACCTGTTCTACGATCAAAACTATGTCAACTTCACGATAGCCAATCGCAGTTTAGCTAAACCGAGACTGAGGCAACTATCGGGCATCGCTAAAGCCTTAATAAGATTTATTTAATCGCGGGATTAATCACGATAACATTAATAAGATTACCTAGCTTTTTATATTGTCGCAATTATTTATACCGCGAATCATTCACCATCGCTAATCGCTAACATAGCTGGTATCTAATACACATATTGTGAAGTCGGTTTTAAATAAAGGATAATGGAATTGGAAATTAAAAGTCATTGCCTTAAAGTTCAATATTAACTTAAGAATTTTGAGAACGTAACGTCACTTGACGTTTGACATTCACACTTGCCATAAATTGACAGTAGCATAACATTCCTTTTCTAGGTGCTAAAGACGAATCATTATGTATCTAATAATTTAGAAATTTTTAATCTCTTTAGTTATCTAACTAGTTCAATATGTATAAATAATAATATTTAAAATTTATCGATCCTTGGAAGCAGTATTTGAGTTGTGGAAAAATTGGTTATCTAATGGGAATGCGTTTCATTCCACATACTAGTCTAGAAACTCAAAAAGTTCCACATAAGCGGTGCGCGACTGACAACACTGCCGAATACGTGGCCCCGAAGTTGTGTGATTAATGTGTCTTGTTTATATTTTTTATTGTGTTAATTCTTTAAAATTCTCCGCCAAAGCCGTGAGTAAATAAAATAATTTAATTATGATCCTTGTCACCGTAATTTCACTGACTAACTCCGGGTGGATGGCTGGGAAAACTAATTTACTGTGTAGTTTGCAGCTGTCAAAATTGTACTAACAAGATTTTATTGTATTTTTCGTAATTTAAGTTATTGAGTTTAGATTATGTAATGTAATTTGTGTGCTGTATTGCAAATAATCTTTACTGTACGATAATATTCCAAGAAATGTGATATTAATATGTTATTATGATGTCTACTTTTCTTGTCAATGAAACATCATCGTAAATAAAATTAGGGTTTCTTCTCGTTACTTTTACTCTCAAGAGTCTAAACTACGGCATTTATAAAAATTTCGTGTCTAAGGATTTAGTAAAACGTAATGATTTTTCAATATTAATTTTATGGTGTTTTGAATGTAACACTTGTTTTTGCCGAAACATACTACTCATACAACGCAAGGTGTCATATATTTTAGGGCGTGAATATATATATACGTAATAAATTTGTCACATTGTTTTGTAAAATGCAGAAAGATCTAACAATAACAGTTGCAGTCACCTATTTGTTATCATAGCACAGTAAGTGATGTTATCAAATATTTAAGCGGTGGCAGACTGATAGTATGCTTAACTACATTATGATGTTCTTGGGAAAGTTTTTAATAATCATTAGTAATGGTTGTAATTTTTTTACTGAAAGAAACATATACTTTGACTGTACAATCTAAATTGTACGAAGTATTGGTGCTCGTTCATATTGTATGGGATATTCTCATCTATGGTGATATGATTAAAGTAGAATGTAATATGTGGGTACTTAAACACTTTGAGTGATTCATTTTTTAATAACTCAAAATGTATATTATAAAGTAGTATCATTATGTTAATTATGTGTTAAGTGAATGTACATTTTCACATGAATGGGTTTGTTGTTCTGAACTCCTTAAGTGTTGTACAGAAAAATCTATCTAAAGATATGTTATATACTTTGAATAAAGTAATTACGATACATAAAGTAAATTTATGTCTTAAATATTTTTTAAATTAATCTTTAAAATTAGACTCATTTCAATCAAAGCAGAGTCAGCATGTTTTATTGCAATTACTATTGGTAGTTCTGTCAAAGTATATTAGTCAAGCATCTGTGGTTACATGCTCTAGGACGAAATGAGAGAGATGCAACAGATGAAGTGCTACTCAATTGGCCAATCAATATGATATTCAAGAGGCCCTGACACTCTTAGGTGGTTCACAGATCCACTTGTATTCATTGACCTGTTTTAACCTTTCTTAAAGTTGTTATATTTTTTTTTATATCAATTAAAATTATATTCTGATGAATAGTAATTGTAGAATGTTATAGAGTCTACATAAAAGAGGATTTCAAACAATTTGAAAAAATTTATGAAATAAAGAGAGTTTGAGTTCTTATAACGATAATGAATGCAGGAAACTAAATTGTTTCATATATTATTTTATATGCCAAACAGTGTATATTCTTAATTTAAGTAAATTACATGAGAGTAAATTAATTATATTAAATTTATGTGTGTAGAGCTCAAGTGAGAAAAGAGTTGCTACAAGGTTAAAGCCACAGAACTTCTTAAAAATCAATAGTTGCAAGTCTTTTAATAAATATATTTCATTTCAATTTCAGAAAAAGACAAAAATTCCATAGTAACTCTCAGTTAGAATATGCACAGTAGCACATTTAATTCTTCTCAGCTAGCTTCAGATAGCTCCTCATACACAAATATACAATTGCATCTGTATCCCAAAGCAATAGTTTTATTAAACACCGACATTTTACCAACCACAAATGGCTAAATAATATATCCTAACTGTCACCATTTAAATGAAAAAAAATGTTAAAACAAACCATTTGAATGCTTTTGTTACCAAAAACAACATTTTATCATGTGCATTGCATTTACATTGAAAGTTGTTAAAGTATAGATTGTAACTTTCTCTTTGTATTGATTGTGTCTGCATAATATGCTTATGCAAATTTAAATTATGACTTATTTGCAGGCACTTTTACATTTTATTTGTTGTCTTGTATATGTTAATATATATATACATATATAATGTATATGTTATGTGATATCACTTAACAATATGTATCTTTTGTTACTGAAGTTGATAATTGACAGTCTTAAGCTCATCTTTTCTATTGCCTTCCCTTTTTACCTACTTTTCTCTCACAAAACTCAGAATTTACGAAATTCCCATCCTCAAAGTGTATAGTTGACAGCAATAGCCTTGCTGGATAAACATACATTTGTGAAGCCAAAGTGTGTATGTTATAGAGGCGTTATTCAGTCTATCTATAATATGTATGAGTATGTTAGATAATTCATTATTCTATGATGTCCAATCATTTGCGAGTGTGGCATTTCTCTGCAACTACTTAAGATTCTGATTACCATTCGGTGCACTGAAAAATAATCTCATCACTGGAAGCCAATTGCTACCCTAATGTGTCTCTTTCCTTGTATAAAAACACAAGTGAATATGCATCTTTCATGATTGACTCAGCGGAAATAGACCATTAGCATATATGGGTATCCACCAATTTAATTGTAAAAAACATTTTAAGAGTTTAAAAAGAAAGAGTTTAAACATAATTTATTTGTTCTCCAGGGTAAGTGGCTCCAAGCAACATGATGAATCCTCAGTATTTGCCACCTGGGCAAAATAATAATGCACCTTCAAACCCAATGTTCCCGCCATCATCACAAGACTACAATGGAGTCCAGAATGCAAATATCTATGGTCAGATGCAAGCCAATGGACCGCAAATCCAATCCAAGCCTATTGACCAGACCGATATGTCACAGAAAATGCAGAGTATGAATATAAATGGCCCGCAAGGTTTTCAATCTATCCCACCTACTCAATTGCCTCCTGGGCAGCTTCCTCCTGGCCAGTTTCCCCCTGGAAATTACCCTCCTACATCTAATTTTGCGCCAGGGCAACTTCCACCTGGACAGCGACCACCAAGTATGCCCAGTAGACCACCGGTAAGTGGAGCTCCTCAAATGCAACCAATGGGCCAGACACACCAAATGCCCCCAATGTCATCATCGGGGGGTCCTTCAGGTTTCGGACAGATGCCTCCTCAAAGTCAAACACCCAATATGGAACAGTCGAGGCAGTTTCAACCTCCAACGTCGGTGTCTTCTCAACAGCGTCCACCTTCACAGTCTAGTCAACCAATGCCTCCTATGGGCCAGCATCCACCTGGTCAGGCGCCGCCTATGTCACAGTCGGGTCCGAATCCCCAGCCAGGAATGGGTAGATCAGGAATGCCGCCACAAGCAGGTCAGCTACCTAAACAACAGCCTCAACAGCTTCAAATGGGAGGACCACCCAATTCTTCTGGACAGCCAGGCTTACCTCAAGGAACCTCTCAACAAATGAACATGCCACCACAATCGCAGTCAAATTTTATGCAACAACCTGGTATGCCTTCGCAAGCTAAACCTGGATTTCCTGGACAAGCCAGTGTCCCTGGTCAAAGTGGTCAAATGATAGGTCAGACGGGTGCACCAACACAGCCTGGTATGATGTCAGGACAACTAGGTATGCCGCCTCAGCAAGCTGGCCAATCGCCGCATTCAAGTCAATTCGCTGGAAAAGTATCGTCACAACCAGGAATGCCTCCGCAACCAGGGCCTCCTGGCCAACAGATATCTGGTCAACCTGGTATACCGCTACAGTCTTTACAACCCGGTATGCCCCAACAATCTTCACAGCCTGGAATGCCGCCACAACCTCGACTAGGTCAACCCGGATTACCACCACAACCTGGTCCAATGCTTGGGCAGCCAGGAAATACAGGCTCCCATTCGCATATGAGTCAACCTGGTCTACCACCCCAGCCGGGGCCAATGAGCCAGCCAGGATTTCCACCGCAACCAGGACAACACGGACAACCGCCACAGCAAGGACTTCCGCCTCAGCAGCCTGGTTTTCCGCCACAACCTACACAATTCCCACCACAACAGCAACAGCCAATGCCTGGTCTTCCACATATGCCACCCCCGTTATCGCAACAAAAGCAACAATATCCAGGGATGCCAGCGAACCAGCCAGGGTATGGCGCTCAGCCTGGACAACAGCCGGGCGGACAATTTTCTGGCAAGTTTTAAACATCCTTGTAAATGCTCAGGTCCTAAGTAATTTACTAATATTTAAAGTATTTTCTTCATCACATAGGTATGCCCCCTATGCCAGGGCAGCTTCCGCCTCAACCAATGCCAGGCCAACAGCAGCGCGGCTTTCAGCAGCCATCATCAGGGTATCCTCCGCAATATCAGCCTCAGTTCCCTGGACAACAACCTCCCTACCCTGGCCAACAGTATCAGCAGCCTGAACAGAAACGACTTGATCCTGAACAGATGCCTAGTCCAGTGAGTGGCCTGTTAACTCCGCCTTTACCTGTGAATTGTGTAATAAGCCTAATTACAACCTAATAACATGAGAACATGGGTATTATATTTGTATATTAGGGTGCTTCTACACGATGCAAGTAGCTTGCGTGCTTGTTGAGGCACTTTGCGAAGGAATAAGCGGGTCCAGCGACTCGAGCATGTACCAGCGCGAGCCATCCGAGCAGGTAATTCGCACTCCACTTCTGTGGGTTACTTGCGCAGGTACAGACATACGCAACTGTGCGACTGAGAGAAACCGGTTTAACGCAGCAGTTTGCGCAGGTTATTTACTTCGTGAAAAGGACTATGCGGGTTCAGCGACTCTGTATTATTATTGAGGTATGGCTATGAATACTTGTTGATACTAACCAAATACTTTTTTGTAGATTCAAGTTATGGCCCAAGATCAAGAGAACCGTGGCGGTGTCTTCGTGACTAATGAAAAGGGCCTTGTACCTCCACTAGCCACCACCGATTTTGTTGTTGATGACAAAGGAAATGCCAGTAAGTACTCGACGAAGACCAATCTAACTTTGAAGGATTGATTCTCTAGTTATTACTCTAAGTTCTGAAAAACCATGTTGACTGTAAAATATTGTGAAACATTCCAGGTCCTCGCTACATCCGGAGTTCTATGTACACGGTGCCTGTTACAGCTGACCTGCTCAAGCAAACTTCAATGCCCTTCTGCTTAGTTGTAAGTATGTTTCCTGTAGCCTACTTTTCTGATGATAAAAAAATATTTTGTATATTATAAAAGTGTTTGTCGATATTGAAAACAAAGAGGGTAGATGGTAATACAAAAAAATAATTCTAAAAAATTGACATTGGAATCACCTAGAACTCATCAACAAATGAGCTGGTTCGATCGAAGTAATACCAGGGCAGATAAGCAATTTTTTCGTTTCTTTTCTCCGAGTGAGTGAGGTTACCGAAAGTCCAACCAAACATACATCGTCCCCCTAATTCTGGAGGGCCACACAGAAGGTTTAAAAGCACTTGTGTCCCTTGAGCAGCAGGTGCCCGTGGTCGGCGGTAATCACTCTCTATCAGGTGACCAGTCTGCTTGGTTGCCCCTTATATCAGGGAAAGAGATAACAAAGTATTAATGAGTTTCCATTCCTATTTTTCGGAAAAAACGCACCGACGAAACCGGAATAAGCCATGATTGAGTTTGCCTGACATTTGTTCACAGATATCTCCAATGGCAGAGACTATAGGCTCGGAGCTAGAACCTCCACTCATTGACTTCGCCGCCCTAACGGGGTCACCTACCATGGGCCCGGTCAGGTGTTCTCGCTGCAAGGCCTACATGTGTCCTAGCATGAAATTCGTAGATGCTGGTAGACATTTCAAGTGTGCTTTTTGCAAAGCTACTACAGAGGGTACGTTTGTGATAATAGTAATTCGTAATAACCATTTGTCATAATAGTGATGTGTGACTAAAGTCAACTGCGACACAACTGAACTTCGTGTTCCTACTGATCCATCAGACTTCCACAGCCCAAGTACTGGGCGATATCGAAGTTCTGCAGACAGACTTGCCAGACTTTTTCTGTCTCTAAGTAGCAATAACGCTTGCCACAGATGTTCATAGGGCAATATGACATATTATTAAAAACAAACATAGGTGAGTTACACCCAAATAGAGAACCAAGCATCATGTGCATCACACAGTTATTTGTCAAGAGTGGTATTGGACTCGTCTTTCAGTGAGAATCACTAACCATGCTGCTGCATGAGTGTTAACATGAGAGAGACCTACTTCTTAGCGTTCCATGCATTCACCGTTGCGGGTGCCGGGTCTATCGCGTGATAGATGGGGCAACACATACGACTTTGACAGCGCCTGGGAATTGCTACCCAGGAATAGGTTTAGGAAGTATTCCTTGTGACGCGTCAGCACTCACCTCCAATGTCTGCTATGTTACCCCCTCTACCTAACCATATTTGATACAAGCCTAGCAATGCCGCTTTGGATATTCGTTCAAGACAATATCTTAAGCCCTTGGCAATCCAAGGTCTTTAAGCAGTTTAAATATCACTTGACTTAAACTTCTGATTTGAACTTACTATTTATTTTTGTGATATTTCTGCATTCTAGTGCCTATGGAGTATACTCAATATATAAACAGTACACAACAATACGGAAGAGTGCCGGCTGAGATGGCGCTCGGAGCGTATGAGATTGTCGCGACGAAGGAGTATTGCAGGGTGTGTAGCTTGACCCATGTCAACTATCACATTTTTTTCTTACTTTCTTCTAAGTTCTTTTGTTTAATTATACTATTTTTTATCAACAGAACAACACACTGCCCAATCCACCGGCCATAGTATTTGTTATTGACGTTTCGTATAACGCGATTAAGAGTGGACTCGTGCAGACGGTGTGTGACAATATTTTAGAAATTGTAGAGGTAAGCATCAAATACATATTTGTGATTGCTATATTATTTTTGTATTTTATTCTTGTGGAATCCTCCACGGGTCATTTCCTCACTAGAGCCTAAGGTGAAATGGTATGTCGAACCGACTAAAACCACACTATGTGCAGTCAAAAACGAGTCTATTTCAGGGGACCCATCATATCCCAACAAGATAACCGCTGAGAATCCCAAACAGACTTTGGCCGCCTGATAAACAGGGATGGGGACGTGAAGTATTTAGCTTACCTCCCCTCCACTATAAATAACTTTTAATATAAATATTTTTGGAAAACATCTGAAAATTTAAATTAATAGACCGTATAGAATTTGATACTAACTAAGGACTGTAGCTATGTATTACATTTTGAATGGTATCTAAAAATTTAAGTCAAAGCCATTAACGAATTATTTTATTTGCCTTGCAGTCGTTGCCCAAAGATGAAGTAACGGGCAAGAGTTGGACGCGCGTTGGGTTCATCACTTACAGCTCAACAGTTCACTTCTACAATATCAAGGTTTGGAACTTAATTTTTGTAACGTCGTAAGCTAATCATAAAGTACATTTTGATATTATTACCAGTACATAATATTTATAGGAAATATTCTGCAGTAAAATGCTTAATGCTTTGTCTTTCGTTATGGCAGGGTACACTGACGCAGCCGCAGATGCTGTCGGTGGGTGACGTCGGCGACATGTTCGTGCCGCTACTAGAGGGGTTCCTGGTGCGGCCCGAGGACTCGGGGCCCGTGCTGACTGCGCTGCTACAACAGCTGCCGGTCATGTTCCAGGACAACAAGGAGACTGAGACCATCTTGTTGCCAGCCTGTCAGGTCAGTCTACGAAACTGGAACACAGTAAACATCGCTATGTCGAAGAGCTGTCCGTTTTATAGTGACTTTATATTTATAGCTTTGTTGTCATGTTTAGGAATATTTGTAGAAAATCACCGTGCGCTATAACGAATGGGCGTGTAAAACGCCTCCTGTTAGATTATATTTTGTCTAAAAATACTACATTTCTTTAATAAGATAGTCAAGGTGATTATAATATACTAAACATTCCTTTACTAACAAATCTGTTTGTTTCTTGAAACTTTCATAACCAGTACTCAACATTACGTAATAAATGATCCGCAGGCTGGTTTAGAAGCTTTAAAGGCTGCGGACACGTCAGGTCAACTGATAGTCTTCCACACGACGATACCTTCCTACAACGCGCCAGGGAAGCTAATCAACAGGGAAGACAGGAAACTGCTCGGCACGGAAAAGGAGAAGCAGATATTGTGTGAGTATACGGTACATTTAAAAATCTGTCAATTACAACTCAGTACAGAATAAATATTTAGTTGGAATCGTTCGGTAGCGCCCCAAACGACGGCGTACAACGAGCTGGGCCAGCTGTGCTCGGCGGCCGGCGTGTGCGTGGAGCTGTTCGTGTGCAACAACGCCTACGTGGACTGCGCCACGCTCGGCCAGCTGCCGCGCCTCACCGGCGGACAGCTGCACAAGTACACCTACTTCACGGTGAGCGCCCGACCCATGTCTCAGTACCGGCTCGAATGAACAAATATATTGCTCAACAATAAAATCCATTCATCGCTAAGTATTTCTGTCTGGTCCGATTTCGAAACGATTTTAATGTATGAAAGACGAAGCAAAAATAGATAGGATGGCGGAGTTTCTAAGAATGAAATGGAATATCATGGTTTACTAATATCTCGTTTGAATGGTGGGCAGGCGGAGCTGGACGGCCCGCGGCTCATGTGGGACGTGCGGCGCGCGCTCACGCGGCCCACGGCGCACGACGCCGTCATGCGCGTGCGCACGTCTACGGGCGTGCGCCCCACCGACTTCTACGGCCACCTCTTCATGTCCAACACCACCGACGTCGAGCTCGCCGCCATCGGTAACTACCCACCCCATTTGCCTCTTCTAAACTCTACTCAACACGTTTAGCCCAAATTTTTAAACGCGCTATATTCTTTATTAAAAGAACAATGGCGAATTCGTAGTTGAGTATAATTTGAGCGTCTTAAAATGTCATTCACAGGAAACTAATTCTAGTAAATATCTACGTTTTTTTGAAACTATCACCTAAGTCAGTAATACCCCAGGAAAAGAAAGAAAAATATTATAACCTTATTTGATTGTTTTAATATCCTTTATCAGTTTAGTGTTACCATATTATAGCCATATTTTTCATGTAGTGGAAATACTGTCCAATAAAGTATCATAACATGATAATCACTTAATAGTAATATGGTAATCAGATAATAGTTTTATAATTCTAAGTACTGAATCAATAAATAATATAGTTTGTGGTGCATTATTAAACGCATTGTTTACGAATTTGAAAATCCTGTAGTGGAATATAAGAAAGTAAAAAAAAATAAAGTGGCAACTGCAAGCTGAAAAAAAAGCAATGGTTTTTTGATAACTCTACAGATGTTTGCGCTCTGTGTTTAAAAATAAAGACTAAACGTCTGACACGAATGGCCGCCGCCGATTATATTAGTTTAGGTTTTGAATTTACAATTTATTACATGTTGAAATAGGTAATAAATTAAGGAAAAGGAATATACTTATTGTATATTAGTACATCCGCATATATAATATCCAATTATACTTATGTAATTATTATTATTAATATTAAGTCATTTTGTCCAATTATATTCCAATTAAATAAATATACTTATGCATAAGATGATTATTGCATGCATCAGACATTAAAAGTGACATAAAAATATAACCTACGACAGTTCTACAGCCAGTGGACTTATGGATTATGTTTTTTTATTTAAATGACACATATACAGTTATAATTATCAAAAAGTTATGTAAAGTCGATAGCCGTAGACAAATTAATAAAATAAATTGAACATTAAGTAGCTATGTTATAAAAGACTTTATCTATGTACTCTTTTAAAGACAGTCCACAGATGCAGTGCGTAACTGAAAAAAATCAAATGCTAATATCTTTTTTCTACCCTTTTTATTGTTTTTTACGTAAATTCTAAAAAAATTGCGGCATTTTTTTATACAAGACGGTGCAATTTGGTTCCAAATATTTTTTTGTATGGAGACCCGCCATTGTTCTTTATCACGTTTTGTCATTTAATTGTTTTTCTAAGCGGAGACAAGTTGTATGTAGTGATAATTTTCGAACGAAGTCTTTAAAATCCTATAAAACTGATTCGTCTCCAGATGCGGATAAAGCGATCGGTATTGAAATCAAACACGACGACAAGCTGACCGCCGAGGACGGGGTGTACATCCAGGCCGCGCTGCTGTACACGCACCGGAGCGGCCAGAGGCGGCTGCGAGTTATCAACCTGGCGCTCAACGTGGCTCATCAGCTCGCCGACGTTTATCGGAGTATGGAACTAGACACCTGTATCAATTTCCTTACCAAGCAAGGTATTATTCTTTTATGTTTACAAATGAATAAGAATATCGATTCGAGAGTCGATACCTACTATGAAAAAAAGAAAACTTTCGTTCTTTCGTTACTAAGTACTTCGAAAGTTACTCAGAAAAAGCACGATTTGTGTACAAGAAAGAGATTATAAATAAATAAATAAAGCGTTATCAACATGCTGTCTGAAAGCGGTTATCTGCAGGATAAAGGTCTTAGTACACTCGAGTGACGGCAGGCTAGTCATTTGTGTTGCGTAGAAATTTGAGTGGCGAAATTATTTGCATTGTTAATTTTATTTCTTTAGCCAGTTTTCTATAAAGTTGAATTGAACTGGATGTATAACGTTTACGAAGCCATTATAATCAACAATTAACAAAATAGCCTGATTATTTTTCTGATTTAAATTTACAATTACAGTTTTATTGTGGTTAAATGGATGACTGATTTAACGTTTATAGTGTTATCTTTTTCTAGAGAATTCAATTCGTTGTTATAAGCTAAATTGCTATCATCCGCAAACTTTATCATGGTATAAATAGAAGCTGTCGAATTATTCTTAATTGGTTGTGGCCTTCGGTTTCCGCATTTAGACTCGAGAATGGTCCTTTATGTGTAAAAAAATAATCAACGGGGGTCCAAGTGCACTACCCTGCGGCACTCCGTATTTTATTAGTTTCTTGACTAGATCTAAATGGAGTATCATTTTTTTTACAAATTTTGTTAATTACTATTATTTTTTGTTAATTACTGAGCTTTAAATTAATAAATATCAATGTTTAGTTATACGGGAAGAAGACCGTATTTTGGGATTTACTATTACCATCCGATTTTATTTTAGATCTTTAGTAAAAGATACGATTTTATTCGCACCATATAATGAAGAGGTAGGTATTGTATTTTTGCTTTAAAACTCTAGATATCATTCTAATAGTTTTGTGATGAAACAATAACGTAGTCCTTTTATGGTCTTTTTTTTATTAATTTTGAAATTGTCTTTATTTATTTTGGTTTTTAGTCGTAAGTTTATTTAACATTTTACGTTATTTTAGTTATCCACAAAGGTTTCCTCTCGGTCGATATCAATTTGTACTTTATTCATAGCGGCAATTCATTAATCCCTATAAACGTCGGTCCGAGCCGTTTCGTACACTCGTTGTCGAACGACGAGTGGCGGTGGACTCGCAGTAGTGAATGTGTGTGGTCGCAGCCGTGTGGGCGCTGCGCGAGTCGGCCCCGCGCGCGGTGCGCGAGGCGCTGTCCACTCGCTGCGCGCGCTCGCTGGCGGCCTACCGCCGGCACTGCGCCTCGCCGTCGTCGGCCGGCCAGCTCGTGCTGCCCGAGCCCATGAAGCTGCTGCCGCTGTACACCAACTGCGTGCTGCGCTCGGACGCCGTGGCGGGCGGCCCCGACCTGACGTGCGACGACCGCTCGTGCGCCATGTACCGCGCGCTCACGGCCGACGTGGCGCAGTCCGTGGTGTACACGTACCCGCGCCTGCTGCCGCTGGCTCGCCTCGCCGACGCGCCCGCGCAGCGCCTGCAGCCGCTGCGCGCCTCCATCGACAAGATCAACGAGCAGGGGGTCTACCTGCTAGGTACGGCGACTAAAGTTAAAAGTTCAAAATATCTTTCATCTATTCAAACTCCTAACTATTCTCTTTTCATTTATAACCAATTAGCAGCTTATGATGTTAGAAAGAGCATACTTTCAATCTCATCCAACGTGATAGGAAGCGACTGCCTCGGTAAAAAAATGATTGTCCCTATCTTAAAATATTTTACTTATTATTTAATTATGCTTCCTGAGAAATTCTTCCTGATATTTTTGTCTTTAACTCCCGTTAAATGATATTTAATTTATGTTTAAATAAAATTTTAATAATTTGAATTGCGTTGAACAAAGTCTAAAAAAGTATAAAAAAATACAGTGAAATTCCAATTTATTTATGATATATTACAATCAATTAATACATTATGTGCTTTACGTCAGTATCATTACATTTTATATCAAAATTAGTACTCGGTTCAGGATATTTTAAAGGATAAGTCAAGCCCTTAAAAAATCATTTAAATATATCTATTTCGACCATGTTCCTTATTGCTGCAATGATGGAATTTTATTAAATATGCGAGGACCCAAGGAAAAGACACTATGATGCAAAAAAAAAATTGCCAGCTACTATTGACAATTTATCTGAATTTTGAGGCCCTGGTTCGGTTATAACAAATATTGCAACCTCATATATGAAAAGAGATGGTAAAGTTAGGATTTTTAATTTCTTGAAATGAGGTTTACAAGACTCAGTCGGCTGCAGATTGCATCATGCTTCTGATACAACGTTTTTGAACGATTAATACATATTCTTTTAATGTTGAGTTTCTTCAAAAAATTATTCCATATCGTAGAGTAGATGCGACAACCATGATAGGCCGAGAGCTTTTTACAGATATATTCGCTATGAGATTTCCAGTTTACTTTAAAAAAATTGTTACATCTATTATCGTGTTCTGAAAAGATACATTTAAATTTTTATTCCCTCTCTTTCGTTGTTTATATAACATTAAATGGGTTTGTTAAATCCATTTAATGTCAGTCATTTTCATTAAGCTATGGTATTATTGATATCAAAGATGTATTTATGTCATTTTCTAAGTGATTTGACTTATTGCCAGTATAAAAAACAGTGATATCGTCAGCAAATAGTCATTTTATATTTTATAACAGTAGGCAAGTCATTAATAAAAATAAGGAACAAAAGAGGACCCAGAATACTACCTTGGGGAATTCCTGAGAGAACATGTCTGATATTAGAACTATGTGTTTTTTCAACTTTACTAGTTATAGACACCCTCCTTATATCTGTTTTCTGTTAATGAGATAGGATCCACGTTACCTCTAACACCGTAGGTATAATAGCTTAGCTATTTAGTAGTATTCTATTGTTGACACGGTCAAATGCTTTTGACATATCCATAAAAAGAGCTATTGCTGGTGTTCGTTTATCCGTATTGCTCAAAACCTCGTATAAAACTTTATACAGTACCAAGTTTATCGATTTAGAGAAGAAGAAACTAAAATTAGAATATTATCGTAAATTCATGAATAAATGTAAACAAACAGAGAACGGCGTACACATGCTGCTGTGGGTGGGGTCTCAAGCGTCTCCAGACTTCGTGCGCGACGTGTTCGGCGTGTCGTCCCCGCAGCAGATCGACACTGCGGTGTGCGAGCTGGCCGCGCTCGACACGCCCACCAGCGCCGCCGTGCGCGCGCTCGTGGAGGACACGCGCGCCAAGCGCCGCACCGCCATGCGGGTGAGTCTACTCCACGCCAAACTGCCCGACACAACCATTTTTTTTAACATTGCGTCTTTGTACTGATTTCATATGTATTTTCTTCACAGTTTGTTGACTTTGTATAGTTCAATAGTAATGCACGCACAATCTGAATTCTGTGTCAATTTTTATTTATCAAGGTAGTTTAATCACAAATAATATAAGTTCGAAACGATTGAACTCACCCCGACCCATAGCTCGCGGACATGGTGATCGATTTATGAGTATTATTTGATAACGTAAGAATAGCATACCTATATAAAACACGACTCAATCTAGACCTCCGTCCCGCGGGCTTGTTAATGCTTTTCTTCTATTTAGGTCTAAGTGAAGTGTATGACGAAATAATTTATCTCACGAGAGTTGGGGTGCCGCTTCAGCTAATTAATACCTCATGAAAGGCGGGCGTGGCGCGGGAAGAGTTGCTAAGTATATGTTAGAAAAAGACGGTGAAAAAACGACGACATTTTATAGAATTACATACAGTTGTGTTGTGATTGGGATGCGAGATCTTTATAAAAATCACTTAGATGGCAGAACACGCAGACATCTTGAAAAGGGGAGCATGACACGCTCTGCTTGAAATAAAAGGGTGGGTTACATGGTGTATGCGCTGGTGGATCGAAGAAGTTTAGTCTGGATCCGAGGTAGAAATGTCTTCCTTCAGCCTGCAAGTTTTACTCGATGTCGACTTGCTTTTCTTCGACATCTGAGGGCCTAGTGCCAGTTAATTTCTCATCGACGCGCTCTCTACGGCGAGCGCGTTTAGCGTTTGCGATACAATCGAGTAGAAGTAAAATAAACTCGCACTTGGCCCTCTGACCACTGAAAACTATACTTACTACGATTTATGTTTTAACTTCTCGATGAAGCCGGCGATTGCTTTATTTCTACTTTGTAAATAATAATGTAGTTTTAGAAGTATGTACTCCCTGCTAATATGCCGTGTCGGTTGTGTGGCTGCATGCAGCTGATGGTAGTGGTGCAGCAGGGTAAGGGCGAGGCGGAGTTCCGCGCGCTGCTGGTGGAGGACGCGGGGGCGGGCGGCGCGCCCTCCTACACGGAACACCTCATGGCCGTACACAAGGCCGTGCTCACAATGATGTACGTTTGGGGGCGGTGTGACGGGTTGTGTGCATGGGTGACCTCCTTTGGGTTGGTCGTGACTACGGGCGTGGACATTTTCGTGTTTCTTTTTCATGGGTCGCATGTGTTTGGGCCAGCACATCGAATATAAAGTTTGGAAAGTGCTGACTTGAATATTTGGTTTGGTTGTCTTTACTTGGTTTCGTTACACGCGGGAGTACGGTAGGATTATGTCTAACAAAAATATTCAATCAATATCATGGGTGTAATTATGTAGTATGTATGTATTTTGTAATAAAAGTAAGTTTATCAACACCCTGGTTACTATTGTATAAAGTATTTTTTTATTTTTACTACATTAGAAAGCCTTTATTTATAGACCGATTTGGAAAATTTGGTCCAAAAAAATTGTAATTGTAGTTACCACTCTTAATGGTAGAACATTAAGAAGAATACACATTATTACAATTGACAATGATGTGGACACATTAAAGTCGGCCGTGTGTGAGATATGTCATAATTATTATTATATTAGTTTAATAATGTATCTCTCAGTAGTAAATAGAACGATATTCGCCATTTTACTGGTTGTGGTTTTTAATATAATATATTATGTTGTATGTATTTAAATTTATATCATAGTTTAATGTACGATATGTTTTCACGTCATATAGTGGTCATAGGGCTATTGGTATTGTAAAAGGGAATTTTAATTGAGCCAATAAGTATCACATTTTCATTTCATTCATTCCTAGACATCCTTCCAAATCAGTTAAGGTTTCATCTGCACTCCACTATAAAATTACTTGATAAAAATCTCAGAATATTAACTTTCACTTAATTTTTTTGTCTATCTCTCCGCATGCTTTTACATTACAGGGAAACATGTCATGGATGTTTTTTTTTAAATCATGCTTTATAGTCTATGCCACGTATTAAAAGTATGTTTTATATGATAAAGAAGCAAACGAAGAGACGGTTCATTTGATGGTAAGGGATTACTGCCGCCCGTGGACACCTGCAACTCAAGAGTCAAAACCGACTCGCCGCCCGTTAAGGTCCCTCTTTCTGCCAGAATTAAGAAGGGGGGTTTGAGGCCGTTTCCTGCACTCACTGGGTGAAAAGCAAGGAAAGGATTGCTGAACGTTGGTTTTCTGAGAGGCCGGTGGTATCACTCCGGTTGAACCGGCCCATTTGTGCCGTAACATGAACCACCCGCGTATAATATATGAGGCGGCAGTAGTCACTTGCCATCAGGTGACTCGCCTGCTTTTTTGCCCCCTGTACCATAAAAAAGTCCTTTCCCTAATTACCGTCCCATAGCAGGAGTTGCACCTCCTCTCAATAGGAGAAGGTTTATGTTACGATTCATCTACACATCAATGGTTGAAAATGATGGGAAAAAAGAAAACTTTACTCCAAAGCCATGTTTCTGGTCGTTTGTTAGTGTACTAGAAATATTGGATTGGTGTAAGCAGACATGTTGAAACCTAATAAATTCTATATAGGGTCTTGTTTGTTGCAGCTAACGATAATGCGCCAACATGACAAGCTGGAGACCGTGCTACGCCACTTCCTGGTCGAGGACCGCGGCGTGGATGGCTCTTCGTCCTATGTGGACTACCTTTGCCACATCCACAAAGAGATTCGCGCTCTTCTATAGCATTTGTATGGCTATTATTAGGTAGGGAACCTGCTACCTTGGTACACTCCGCCCTCGATTGCTTTACGTGCGAGATATATCCACTTAGACTGCATATATTTATAATTTAACTATTCCAGCAAATCTCGTCGACACAGTTTATTTGTGCACACAAAAGCTTCGTAAGTACAACAGCCCATAGGTGGTTGGCACCGGATCCGGCTCGAAGGACCATGAAGATTTACATGGTCTTTTTTCACAACGTATTTTAATTACTTGACTACGACTGTTATATTCGTAAAAGTATTTTTTTAAGTCTACCTCTAAACTAACAATAATGTATTAACATAATATATTTCACATGAATAAGATACAATTTGAGGAGAACTAACACTAAATAACATTTTTAAACAGAAGTCAAGTGAAGACTTTTTATACAGAAATTATCTAAGTTGATTAGAAGGTACAATTGTGAAATTGCAGCAAAACACCTAGAAATTTCTTTTTGAAACTAAACAGATTAAAACTGTATCAAATTTAATAAGATGTGGATCAGTATGTATTCTATTAACATAAGTCTAATAAGTTGATGAATTTAGTTATGTAATGTCAATGTGTGTGGATAATCTCGTTCGCAAATCTGACGTACACGCGTACGTGTAACAAAAGTCACAGGTAACGGTGTGTGTGTGTTTCAGTGAGAGTGACATTGCAATTTTTACAGACTTCGGACTTGGGGCGAGGCGGCTTGGGGGGGGGGGGGGGGGTTCGACAGCTAGTCTCCTATGAAATGTAACAATGATCTGTAGTTCCTCACACTTTATTTTTGTAATTTTACCCTGAGATCAGCATTTATCAGTAATTTCATTATATTTCTTTTACATGTTAAGATGTTAAGAAAATATTTTGCCCCTTGGTGTGTCCTATAAATATGTGCCTGTATGCTCCATTTTAGTTTTTTTTTTTGTCAATAAATAATTAAGTTTCTGATGATTGTTTTATATTGAGGCTTATTACTTTATTTAGGATCGGAAATTAATAACTTTTATTTTTCGCAAGAACAATGATTATGTCCATAACTTCCATTTTTAAATTTTTGTATTAAATTAGTTAAGTGTGGAGATTATGAATAGTTGTTAATAATAAATTTATCACCCGAAATTGTTAAATAAACTAGCAACCCTAAAAATATTGTACAGTAACAGTGTTGCTACATAAAAATAGTAGAAATTCCATTAAATATATGAAATAGTTTTATGTTTGTTTGTAATTGGAATAGTTTTGTTTCGTACGATATTAAAACTAGATATATTTTTATCTGTATTGGATGGTATTGTAATGTAAATAAAATATGGCGTTATTTAATTTCCTTTTCGTTCTCATTTTAGATTAGTTTTATAAACTGTATAATATAATAACGAATAAGGTTGAAATTATAAACATTTTTAAATTGAAACTTACTCATGGTTTCAGAAGAACATGTCATAATTTTTACTGTAGTCAATATATGAAGAAGACAAATACCATGACAAAGTAACTGGTGCAATACTATCCCTGTCGCCGTCTAGCTAGTGACATGATCAGCAGAAACACTAAAACATACATGTTTAACTCTACCATAGTACCCGACTATAAAAGTCATCGAATTCCACAAGTAAAACAAACAAATATTCCTTATTTACTGAAGGACCTTTGAAGTATAATATTTGAAGTATAACATCGGTTTTTGGTTAAGCATTATTACACAAAACAAAACCATTCTGTAGTATTCATTTAAATACTTTAAGGTTATGTTATCAGACATAATTATATTACAGTTGCTTTATAGGAATAAAGCTTTCATGAGGTAAGCTTTCGTGGCGTAGCGATCCTGGGAAAAAAACTACCCTACTTCGGTCGTCGGGTAAAAAAATCGTGCGTCCTTATCAGTGTCTTCAATCTGACCAAAAACGGACCTGAGTAAAAACGGAAATTGTCTTAAAATTGTATTTCTAATTTTACCATTTAGTGATCAACTCACAATTGAAAAAACTTATGTTATCTAGATAGTAAAAGTTTAGTAATGTACAGATACAGTTAGGTACGTGAAATCTTTCGTTGAGCTATAATATGTACGCAACATATAGTCGATTAGATAATTGGTTTAGTAAGGGTTAGTTTATGTACCTAATCAGAACTGTTATTGAACGAGTAAGCCTAATAAATATATCATTTTGTAGCAATTTGATTTTTATTGTTTAGAAGACCTAGGGCTGTTTGGGTATTACTCTGAGGGGAACGCTGATGGTCGATCGGTAGTGATGATGATCGGTTGGCCCTTTCAACCACAGCGACTGCTTTAACTCCGTAGCTGATGTTCGCGTGCTATCATGTGGCTTTAGTGTCTAATCATATAATAAAAAATTCGTGCGCATTGTGATGCGATTCTAATATCGATAAGGCTGATTGACGATTAATTAAGGACATTGGATGGAGGCGGTTAATCCGATCATCATATCATAACGCACACGTGAGACAGATACAAGATATAGAAAGACAGTACCGGGTTCGGCGGCTGGGGGGGTTCGTGAAAAGATTTACGACAAGATAAATAAGCCCACTTATAGTTTCTTGTTTTCTAATTCCTCTTTTCTTTTTCTTAAATTTAAGAACCTGGCTTAGACAAACGTGGCATTCCTGAGGGATGGAACAATCTTTCACTTAGGCGAAAATGCGGGTAAAAGCCCGAGTTGAATGAAACAAATGAAAATATAATTACAGGATTAATTTAATTTCTTGTACATGCATATTTAATCCACAATATAGACATTTATAAAAACTAAAAATAAAGGTTCAGATCAGTACTAGCAGCTTGTCTGGAGACCTGTAATTATAAAAAAAAAATATATATATAATAACGCAATGCGAAAGAGCGCCAACCGATTTAGAGATAGCGTTTAAGGTGACATTCAACTAAGGTATAGAACATTTATCAGAACAACAACGAAACTTAAATATAAAAACATTTTGATTTTTTTTTGTTACTTTTTTATTTTAAAAAGACAACTCCCGCATTCGGAATACATCCTGTGTTGCGGGGAACTTTACAAATATACATGAAACGGACACAAAGAACACTCGGACTCAGAACAACAATTTGTGGATCACACAAAGTGTCGTCGTGGGGCGACCGCTTGAACCTACGCCATCCGAGCAGTCGATTATATTACAGTGAGACATTTGACTTGTCTGGTGTTATATTGTTTCTTGATGTATGAAGGTATTATTATTATACGGGCCAGACAATCCTAGTTGTATAAAAAGTTTCCGAAAATATTGGGATATTTAGTCTGAAATGCATTTTGCGATAGGTAGGGGAGAACAGGGCAATGGGAGCCTACTAAGGGAAAGTTTTGATAAAAACCACGTTTGTCAAAATTCTTGTAATTTTTAATTATCAACTCTTACCTTTATTATTAAAGAATACTTTAATCACAGTTATAATCAACTACAGACATGTATTAAGGTACAATCATAGTTTTACAAAAAAAGTCAGGGGCTCCTATTACCCGACAAATGCGGCTAATGAGAGCCCATTTAACGCTCACACGGGAAATGGGAGCCATTATAATTACTCTTATACCAAAAAATTAACAAAACGTACTTTAAATGAGATCTTAGTTATTATAATAATCAATACAATAAAAGTATTTGTAACACCAATTTAAAAATATTTTTTTCCAACAAAACGGAGAAGTAAATATGTAATTATTAATGAAAAACAAAATATCCAGACTTTAAAGATTCAAACAAATATAGGAATCTGGACTATCACTGCCAGAGCACTCTTTATGGGCCCAGTTTCCGCAACTTCTGCATCTGTACCACATCTCTCCACTTTTTCCAGTGTCTAAACAAATTGCACACAAACTTTTAATTATATAATTACTTTTAATCTCTTTGGTTTCTTTCTTGGTATGTTTTTTGTGGTTGTTCGATTCCTTTTACGTGGCATCTAAAACAAAAAATAAGGTATTTAATGTCTCTTAAACGTAATGAGAGCCAAGCTAGGCTACCATTAGCCGCTAACCACAATTTTGAAAAGTAAGAACATAAATATGTAATTCTACTTTCAATCACAATACAACTAATTGGACTTGTTAGTAAATTAATCTAGGGATATAATAAGCATAAATACAATAAAATAAGAACACAATTTCATGCTTACCTTGATCCTGGCAATTGTCAATTTTTTGTAAGCGTGGAGCAAAAAACACGCAATCGTCCCTCGTGACCAAACGAATGACACTAGTTCGAGCGCGTCAGGCGTAGTTTGTCGATAGTTGACGGAAGCAGCCAAGTGCTTACGATCGCGCGAATGTTCATGGGTTCCGTTCAATCACCATAGCTACCATTGCCCGACCGCTCTCATTACCCTGCGTTCCCCTAATTACCTACAATACATTCGTCATGCCATGTATGGGCGTCTTGCCCAGTAACAAATGTAAGCGATTTTGTCTGCCATATCTGCAATTGGTGACTTGAGAGGTACTTATTCAATTTTTAGTATTCGAAATATCCAACACTCTAAGGAACGTAAGGAATTTGAGCATCAATAATAAATTCCAACGACTACGCTTTATAAAGTCTCATTATCTAAATAAGTAGTCATAAATTAGTTCAATAATACAATGATTAATACAACAAGAGGCGAATAATGTTCTGTTTTGTTCGTCGATTATATATTTACATAATTATACTGTACAAAATAAATAAACAATAAAATAACAAATAACAGTAGCTTTATTTACTAAATTTAATGTGTTATATATCTATAATTACCTTTTTTCATGGAGCGGATGACACACCGACTGGACCCTGAAACCTTTACGCAGGAGTCCTACAACAAGCTGTAGTGATGGGAGTAACAGCGCTTCTAGACCGTGGGCGGTGATCATTTTTTCTAAGGAAACAGAATAGTGATCAATAAGAAAAAGAAAGATTTAGACGGTATACAAAATACTTTTCCGCGCTAAAATATACATATATACTCGCTGCTTATCGCTGTATACGGCATCCATCCGAATATATATACATAGTAAGTATTCGAAACGCACTGACAAAACTACCTTTGGTCAGTACGTTTCAATGTTTGTAGCCATAACTCCTATAGAGTTTACTGTTAACATTACAATTAAATACCCAGGAGATACAAGCAACACCTCGCATCATTCACAGAAATAAAACAGGCTTTCGATATAACAGAAACTAGAACATGTCGCTATAGGGATATCTTGCAATAATATTAACCGGCTTAGGGTAAATAACTTCGATGTACGGTCCTTTGTAAGTACACGGGAAGCAGTAGTTGGGGCGGCGGCGTCTGCACCCCGCCACCAGGGATACCAGCTGCAATAGCAGAAGTAGGAGCTCTTCTAGCATGATGAGTTACATCTAGACATTTAATGACAATGCGTAGGTAAGTTTTTAAATTTTTTAGTACATACTTGTACATACTTTATATACATACACTATCCGTGTGGTGACGGATTAAGAATACTGAGTGTCACCTCCCCTATTCATCCCGTGGGTGTCGTAAGAGCCGACTGAGGGAATAAACAGCGCAGGACAACAGCACTGCAAAGAGAAGGAAAACTTGAAACAAACCCTATACCAACCCGTCTGGTCAGCGTGGTATAGCAGGCCAAAACCTTTCTAAGGAGAGGCCTATGTCCAGCAGTGGACTAGTAGAGGCTGATGATGATGATAATTTTCACTAACATAGCGTAAAGCTAAACCTTTTAACGCAAACATTTCGATCTATTATCAAATAGCTGCTATTGTGATGTATACAAAAGAAACTATAAGGTAGTTAATATAAAAGCGTTCACCTGCTTGGGATAAACAACTTCAATAATGGGTCCTTTGTATTTACAAGGGAGGCAAGTATCTGGGCACGAACGTCGTTTTTTGCGATTGCAAGCGGTCGCTAGCATTAAGACGAGCTGCAGCATCAACAGCAGAATCTTATCGAGCATCATGACCAGTTACGAGCACTTTCTCTGCGAATGCAAATACTAGTGATGACTATTGTGTTTTTAATTTAACAAATATGGGACAGTAGAATTGTGTTAGTCAAGACGACGTGTGTACGTTGAGTGCTGGAAAACGTATGTAGGGACACATACTCTCTGAGATTGCATGTGCAAGCGTTAGTCAGACATGTGCGTCCAAACCAAGTGCTACACAGACTGGGCAATGCTTACACTCTCACAAGTCATGTGTCCCCACACCCAAGAGAATAAGCCTTCCGATCAAGTCCCTCCCATTTAAACATAACTCAAGAATGCTAAGGAAACAAGGGTCGATCGACCATACCATCATTTGATAAGCAAATTTTTGTTAATTTAAAACCATAATCATAACGACAAATTATTAGGGGAAGCGTCCATCATCTGGATCTTACCAGAATTGATACTGTTACGACATATTATGTGATGTACCAAAGTACAGCGTAAACAGATAGGTGCACGGGCTAGAACAGATTCTAGTCTGTGCACCGTCACTGTTTACGTATCAAATTTAAAATATTACTTAACTACCTGCTTGAGGTCCCAAGATTCAACAATGATACCTTTGTAATTGCACGGGAAACATGTTTTTGACTTCGGTTGTCGCAGGGCGCAGCCCGCCGCGCTCAGCAACATGGAGAGAAGCTGCAGGAGCAGGAGTAATAGCTTTGTCAGCATCACGCAGTTATTCTTCCTAAAAACACAATTACAGATAAAAACTGTAAACGGATTGACTCCAATACGAAATACGGTTATAAGCATGAGTCTTGCCTGCCTGGAGCTAACAAATGAAATTTAGCAAAATATTACATTTTTAATCAAAATCACGTTTCTTATTTTACAACTTTAATGTCATAAAGATTATAAATTAAAAAAAGAGTGTTTTCAACAGATAAATGTAAGGTTTTTGAGCCATTTCCAACGATTTTAAAGACTGTGCTCCCTTACACTCAGTTTGATCAAATTTCATATATCTGTAGTTTTTTACTTATCTATGCCCGGGCCGGATGCATTACGTACTCTATGTTAACTACAAGATCTACATCTACTTACATTGGCTTGAAGGGGAAGGCTGGACAGCACAATCGGGGTCCCTATTCACGAACGCGTTGTATAAAATAGACTTTTTCTTTGTTACCTAAAGTGTAAAAACACAAATTAGACCACGGTGTTACAGTTCATTACATCATTCTATTTACAGTAGCTTATCTATAATCATAATGAACGTAGAAGGTAAGTACCTACCAAACCGCATAGAATAAAAAATAGGATAGGTACACAATACCTTAAATTGCGTGTAAGAGATAAAGCCGCCATTTCTAGGTACATGTTTCTAATCCGATGTACTCTTGTAAAAAAACAAGATTTTTTGTTGTGCAAATAGAATGTAATGTGTCTTTAGACTTCTATTATTTTATATCGTGAGTGGCGACAAAACGGTTTGAACGAAAGATACATTTACACCCTCAGAGATAGAGCAGTAATACAACCTTAGTCATGTATTAATTGTATTTACCGGCGGATACACGACGTCTATAAAAGGTCCAGGACAAGCCCGGCGCGGGGTTGCGGAGTTGCACTTTCGGAAGCACCCTTTTACAGAGACCAATAGCGCAACAACAATGAGTATTAGTAGAAGCTTTTTTAACATTCTCTTCTCATTTTTTATTTCTTCTGTAATAATAAAATATTAAAGTTTAATATTTTTGACGCTAATAGTTTATTTGCTGGCAATAAAGTAGAAAGATTTCTGATCCCAATCTAATGTATCAAGTTTATGACTTTTCAGTATTGGTAAGGTTACATATAATTAAAGATTGCACATTATTTGTTATCTACTATTATCTACTCTTGTTTTAAGATCTAAAAGAGGCTACAAGAGTCATGTTGTTCCATCGAATTATATCGGCAATTTAAATCTCTTGCTGGCTGTCATTGCAAGTAGTACCTACATTTGTCTTTTGATATTAATAATCATAAAATATTTCAATTTTTCTACCAGACATCCAACTGTTGGTAGATTAGAAACACAGTTTACAGTGTGGGTTGAAGGTGCCTAGTGGTGGTACTATTAGGTATTCAAACTAATGGCAAGAAACATAACTATTGTAGAATATTGACAAACCCGAATTCGATTACGAATCCCTTGTTAAATTCAAATTTTCTATAATTGTTGTACATCGGCTCAGAGTACATCGGTGACCGAGATTGTTCGTAGTAGTTGTCGAAGAACGTGCCAGGGTCGGCTTTGAAGCAGGCGGCCACGCTCAGAACCAAACATAATAACTGAATTAGAAATAACAAGAGTTGCCCTCTTCTCAACATCATGCACCTTACACTTGTGTTCTGTTGAAACAAGAAAATCTACGTAAACGTAACATTACAGACGGATTTCACTAACTATATTTTTAATACTTATGCTAATAATAGTCCGTATAAGGGTTTTAAGGTGGGAAATGAAGTTATTAAAGAAATACTAGATAACTTCTATCGTATCACTTTTAGAATTATTGTCAAATTACTGGTTATTCCCCCAAATTAATGTCTAAATACATGAGATGAAGCCATTCGCTTATAATCACTACTGTCTACTCTAGCTTTGAAATAGGCTTTCTTTTAGCAACCCAGAAAAGTAGCCGTTCTTTTTCGGTCTTCGGTCTTCGGCATTGTACTAGAGGTGCATAATAATCTCCTCTAAACACGTTAAAGGAGAAATTGTTACCATTAGTCAGCAGTTGCGTCCCCGGGAGCGACAGCTTTCCGAAGTGCATTCCACGAGATCATCTTCATAAACTTCTGAGGTGCGGCAGCCGAGGGCAGTCCTGGCTGCGATCAGGAACACATGCACTAACAAAGCTACCAGTATCCTATACCACATGACTGAAACATTTAAGGACACTTGCAGATCTGCTTTTTTTTTTAATACTACTCCCGCACTAGGAATGTATCCAGTGTCGCAGGGGACTTTACAAACATAGATGAAACGGACCCACAACACTCAGCTGCAGTCAATATTAACGGGTGATTAATTAAGGAGTACGATTAGTTTATAAAAAAAAATATAAAAAAATATTAATGTTTAAATTTATTACAAACTAACGTGGTGACTGATTAGGTCACCACCACCCCTGTTCACCCGTGGGTGTCGTAAGACGCGACTAAGGGAGAAAAATAGGTACTCAGAATAACAGCACTGCAGAGAGAAGGAAAACTAGACACAAGCCAACCCGTCTGGCCAGCGTGGTATAGTAGGCCAAATCCTTCTTTTTTAGGAGAGGCCTATGTCCAGCAGTGGACGATTAAAGGCTGTTGATGTGATGTGATGTGACAAAATAAATATACTATCTCTATTGGCTAGTATAGCCAATGCATGCTAAAAGAGGGAGTACCTTATTTCTTTCTTATTTATATTTACAATTACGTTTGTAATATTAAGACAGAAAGCATTAATTTTCTTAATTAAGGTAACAGATAAAACGCTCACTGAACCAACCGATTGTGGCGCGCTTTTAACAGTCTAAAACCTTCAGCACTAGGAGGACGGTGTGTAGGAACAAGGGCAACAGCGTCGGGTACATCAGGTGACGTCACTGCAACAACAAATTGCAGACTGATTGGTTGAGAGGAGTTTTCTTGACATCGTAAGAACGGATTTTAGGAATGCAGTAGTACATCACGAATCCGATACTGTTGTATATTTTATTCAAATTAAATAGCCAAACCAGCTTACTTGCGGATCTTACATGATTTAAGGTAACCTATCGGTTAATGGCTAGTGGTTTGTTAGTGCTAATATGATGGTGGGCTGATAGCCTTCCCCCGTCACTTAGCACTACACTAGACGTAGAGTGCTGGTTCATTGCAGTTCAAAGTAGGAGGTGCTTGGGTTTTGTTGTGAGATCTACTGTGGTCTACCATATGCAGTATTTTAAGCCAGCCAGTGTAATAATTGAGGCTGGACTGTCCTATATTAAGGCATTGGATTAATGTACATATATTGGCAAATACAAATACTAACAATATAATAACAAATTTAATAAAAAAATATGAATCTAATTAATTTCGTACAATTTTCAAATATTTGGACATCATACAAAATAACTAAGTTTGGTTAAGAAATTACTAACACTAATGAATTGTACTATCTAATTGAAATAAATGAATATGGAATATGAAATTATATGATAACTATCTAGAACAGGCTCAGATACAATACTAACCCGAAGGCAAGCACGAAGCTGACCCAGATCGATCGTGTCTTTGGTAATGATAACGATAGTGGAAAAAAAGTGGAAAATTACCCCGCGTGAATTCTTCAAAATCACTTTGACTTTGTCGGGAGGTGGGATGCAATGACCACGACACGGCGACCTCCAACGGCAAGCGTCAGTAAATTTCATCAACAGGAAAGAAAGCATTAAGAAAGAGATCTCCTTCAGCCACATTCCGAAGACTTTGCCAGGAATTATTTGCAGACCATGCCTAACGTCAACGCGTCAACGGCTCGGCTCACTCTTGGATTAATCACCTATAGGTGCATAGTATTTATAAACAAATTACTATGCTCAAAACAATCTGCCTAGTTTTTTACACAAAACGCAATGAACATATCAAAAAGCAGTATTATAGTGTTTAGTCATATCGTGAGCGATTTTGGAGTTTAGGCATTTAGGATTACATTACAGACAAGTTGCAGACACTGAAATATGAGCGAGCATTGTACTTACTGCTTTTCGGTCGTTTGCAAAATGGAGGATCTGCGCAGTCAATGTACGTTGTTTTGGAGCACCCAAGGCATGTCTCCAGATAGGACAGCAGTAAAGTCACTAGAAGAACGACCACCTCTTGATACAACTGTTTGTCCATCGCTAAAACACGGGCCTGTTAAGTCAATACGAGAAAGAGTGATTCTCTTGGTTTATAGCAAAAATTATAATATATTCAACATGTCCTTACTGTAACTCTAAACCGCCGAGTTAGGTTGGCAAACTTGGCCCTGAGTTATGGCTTCAAATAGACATGAATAATGTTTTATAGTATCTATTGATGAGATTGTATATAATCTATCTATATATATGAGGGGTATAGAATCAAAGCCAGCTAAATCCATAGCCTGGTAGGTATAGAACTATGACCGCTATTTTATTCCTCATCCAAATTTGTACATGTTAGGTAAACCGTTTGGTATCAAACGAAGCTATTTTTTATAGAAAAACCACTTCAAACTCACTCGTTAGAATCAAAGTCAGCTTTATCCAGTATTGTCAGAAACAAATGCAGCTAAGTCCAATTTTTAATATGGCATCTGTCATACATATGCGTGCATCCGCGTCTGCAGTTATAATTAAAATTTTATACGTTTTGGTAAATTTTTAATAAAAAAAGATAATATTTAGTGCCATGGAAGTGCCAGTAACCGCAGCAGCACAAGAAAGTTTTCGAAAACGTAAGACACAGCCGGCAAATTGGAAAGTAAACAAGGCAAAAATTGATAGGTAAGTATAGAGTAGTGATGTACTCACTATCAATCAGTTTCGATAAAACTGTTGCATTGCAGGTACACATTTCGTTTGTGAAAGAAGACAAGAAAATGAAGATAATACGCTAAGGATTTAGATTTGATTTTAGTATCTCAAGTACGTACGATGAATAATTTTCTACTTTCCTTATAAATAATAATGCCAAAAATATATGTCTATCACTTTGGCACATTCATAATCGTAACTTGTCATATGTTTCAAACTTTAAATTTTATGGTTTCCTTATTAGCTAACGAACGTACTATAATCTAAAATATTAATTTTGCTTTGTATTTTCGAAATTCTGATGCATATCTGCTCTATTAACTCGATACCCAGAATCATCACGATACACTTCACTAGCAATAGAATTCTTGTTGGAATCAAAATCAGCTATATCCATACTAGTCAGAATCAGATACAGCTAAATCCAGGACTTGGTATCAAAAACAGCTATGTCTAGCACAATTATTTAAATTAAACGGTTACTTTTTCTGCTAATTATGATTGTGTTGAAAAACCTGTAAAATCACTGCAAGCACCTCCTGCCAAATAAATTATATCTACAGAGTAACCAAGCAAAAATTAAAAAAAATGTTTTTTGGTATTTGTGTAAAAAAAGTGTGGATGGATTTAGCTGCCTTTGATTGTATACCCCTCATATATACTCGTATATATAAGAGATTTCCACGTATTATAGTTCACTCATCACGATATCTCTGGAACCATTAGAGCTAAAGACTTGAAATTTGGTAGGAATATTCTTTTCACCAAGTAGAGGTCAGCTAACAACGGATTTTACGAAATTCAAAAAAAAAAATATATATTTATAAATAATGTAAATAGCAAAACAACGTTTGCAGGGTCAGCTAGTAGAAGATATTGTAGATTGAGACTGTTACTTGTGTGTTCCGAAGTCTGTACGACAGCGAGCATTGCTTAGCCCAAGAGTTGACATAAGGTTTTACATTATAGGGAGTAATACGTTTTACACAATAACACGTGTGTCAAGCAATTCTCGGCTGGTAAATTGTAAGAGGCGGGTCTTTTATATTATAAAAAGTTGTAACTGTTTCAGCTTGCGTTTGTCTGCTAGATAAACTTACAGTTTACGGCTTGCAAGGAGGGTTTTCCGGGAGACAAGTGACTTTCTTCTTGCCGCAGCCAGCGACTTCCAATAACCATGTGGCTACAATATACAGTGCCAGCAACAGACGTGCCCAATGATTTGGCATCATATGTTCTGAAAGAAAAGTTACAGTTTTAGTGTCATGACATGGTTCGATGCCTAAGTTTAGGGCAGGACAGATTTCCGTGCGAGCAAGTTATGCTTGCGATGATCACGGCGGAGCGGGACCAGGAGAAGTTTTATGGAGAAGTTTTATGAAGCTTATGGAGGGCGGAGGTCGTTGAACGACCTCCGCCCTCCATAAGCGTAGGCCTGTGAGTGACAGGCGAGGCCACCTTTCACCCTAGCAAGAGCAGGCCTGGGTGGCAGAGAGAATCGCTGCGGGGGCATGCGCCCTTTCGGTAAAACAAAGAGAACATGGGGTTAACGAATTTCCGCACAGAAAAAAGGGCAGATTGCTGACGTTATAAAATTATTATTTTGCACTCACAAGCGTACAATACTAATTTAAAACAGATTCATATGCTGTCATTATCTACATTTAATTCGAAAACAATAAGTTTGGAAATACCCCCGGTTTTTTTATGGCATTAGTATGGTGCATTCGAGGATTGCTTAACAGGGGTCGTTTGTGGCCGTGCTATCTACCACTTGAGCCATTTGAAGTAACTCTGCGACGGTGAAAAAAGACAGCAGGTTGTCAATGCGATAGTTAGTGCAGTTTTTTTTTATGTTAGAGAGGGCAGACGAGCAGACGGGTCACCTGATGGAAAGTGACCATCGCCGCCCATGAACGTCTGCAACTCAGGAGTCACAAACGCGTTGCCGGCCTTTTAGGTAAGAGTACGCTCTTTTCTTGAAGGTTTGAAGGTGGTATCGGTCCGGAAATACCGCAGACGATAACCCGTTCCACAGATTGGTTGTGCGGGGCAAAAATTGTCTCGAAAAGCGCACAGTAGTGGAGCGCCAACTATCCAGGTAATAAGGATGAAAATTTTGACGTGTGGAACGATGGCGGAAATTTGCGGCTGGTATTAGTCCGAACAATTCCTCGGAGCACTCTCCATGATATATGCGATAGAGAATGCAGAGTGAAGCCACATCTCTACGTAACGCCAAGGGATCGAGCCGATGTTTGGGCTATCGACGATTCAAATCGCTCTTCGTTGGATGCGGTCCAGAGAGAGAAGCTGGTACTGAGGTGCCCCTGCATAGAGATGAGAACAGTATTCCATATGCGGCCGGACTTGCGCCTTATAGTGCTGAAGGCGGTGGGCCGGAGTGAAATACTGCCTCGACCTGTTCAGCACACCGAGCTTCTTCGAGGCCAATTTGACCTTACCCTCTAAGTGACCCCGAAACTGGACTTCGCTCGATATGTCGATGCCTAGGATTCTGATGCTGGCTGAGGCAGTTAGGGAGGTCCTCTCAAATTGAGGTGATACGACAAACGGTATCTTTTGGCGGTGAACGCGCAAACCTGTGTCTTTTTTGGGTTAAAATGGACTAGATTTAGTCGGCCCCAATCTGAAACCTCCGCTAAGTTAGTTTCAATTTTAGACAAGTTTATTACGACTCTCGATTACGTTTTCCCGAGAAATGTTGGGGCGGCAGGTATAAATGGCACCTCCTGTGCTATCATCTGCATAGCAATGGATGCTACTAGTTTGCAGCATGTCATTGATATGCAGAAGATTCAGTGTGGGTGATGATAGCACACAGCCTTCTAGTATTAAAATAAAAAATCCTCGTTTAGGCAATCCGTGTGGCGACAGATTAAGAATACGGAGTGGGTGTCGAAAGAGCCGCCTAAGATAACAAACTACGCAGGACAACAGCACTGCTAAGAGAAGGAAAACCTGACACAAACCTTATATCAACCCGTTTGGCCAGCGTAAAGGTATAGTAGGTCAAAACCTGCTTCCTAAGGAAAGGCCTAGCTCCAGTAGTGGACCATTAAAAGCTGTTGATGTGATGTAATTTGAAGCTACACCTTATTCTTCTCCCCCTTACCATCATTAGCATCATCTCACTGCTCTATCTCAATTTTATTATAGATTGGCGCCATTATTGTTGGTTTCTATTATGATTGGCTTCTGCCTACGCTTATCCTCCTTGAAAAAGTATGATGATATTCTCTTACTCTTTTTTGTTTAACTCCTATTTTCTCGTTCAAGTATTATAATTGTAATGAACTTGTCATGGCCAATTCGGCTGCCAGTTATGACTTCTTATTCTGTTTATCGAGGTTAAAATCAGCTTTTTTTGCTAATCTGTAACATGTCAATTTAAATATTTAAAAAGGAGACTCCGGTTTTAAGGACTAGATTGAATTGGTTCTACAGTTTCAGTTCTCAGATCAGATTCGCTATAAATCATGGTGGAAATTACGCACTTCTGACAAGAATGAGATGAATTTGTGTGGCTACAAAACAGGGCGATACTTACAAACACATACTTACATGTATGTGACGGCTTAGTTTATTTTGGCCACAGTCAACAGAAGAGTCCGGTGCTAGTATCTATGCAAGTTTGATAGGTTCGTAAGGCATGCAGTGAAACTTGTCCAGTGGTTGTTCATTATTTATTATGTTTATCTGAAAAGTTCAAACCACACAAGTGACATAAATTACTTAGTTGCACCACGTGCTCTCTTAGTACAATAGGGTGATGATAACCTGGTGGCCTTAGGCTCTTCGAATTTAATATCACCTAATGTAACGGTTAAGGAGTGTTACGTGGACTATTAAAGGCTATTAAAGGAGAAAGGAATCTGTCGAGGGTTTTCTTCTTCTCTCGATGGTATACCGAGTAACACAGAGCAGTTCCGTAATCTGCCCATGTTCAGTTTATTCACACTTAGGGTTGATGTCAATAATTCTAAATACATCGATCATCACCTATTTCATATTTTTCAATTCCATTTAACCGTATATTCACAGTGCAGAAAAAATATTCTACGGTTAGGAAGCTCTCTGCTCCGTACTAACTCTAGTAATTAATGATATTTTTATACTATAAACATTCCGGAATCTAAGACTAATCTATGTATTAAACATAAAATACTGAAATGGTAGACTGAACTAGTTAAGTGCATATTAAGTAAGTACTTTTAGGTCAGTAAGAAAACATTCACTAAATGACAAATGTCTGCCATTTGAAATTTTCTGAATAACATCTCTCCCAAAGATATCACCAAACTTTTCAACAGGTTACAATCTTAATGAGTGTCTACTTCTGACTCGACAAATGCTTGTCATTGGCATTCTTGTAAGATATATATGTGAAAGGAAAACTGCAAGCTCGTAAAACTTACTCAGATGTTTCAAGTGCTTCGTCGTCACACACACGTGGACATCTCATCTCTGCAAACAAAAAGAATCGATTTGAGTCGTTCCACCAAGCTGATAACTAAAACATTAACTACGGTGAACTAACTAGAGCAATAACATTACAAGTTTCTAAAAGGTGGAATTTTTGACCCAAATCAATACTTTAAGTTTGCAACGAGAAACTACAACTACAGAGCTATTATCTACACACAGAGTACAAATACTGCGGGGATATGTTTACGAAACTGGCGGTAGGTCTAACCTTACTTTGACTATTTATATACTGTAGGGTGTGGCCGCATCACCACCTGTTGAACGCACTGAGCCGGTACATTGTACAAACAAAAATGCTGTGATGTACTTTTATTCGTGAATTCGTGAAACTCTTTTTAGATACATGATGTCTTAGTGAAAATATGGGTTGCAATCGTTTAATTTAAAGACAGGGTCATAATGGAAGTCATCATCTAATTTTAAAGGATAATGACATTCCAACAAAGGGTAGGCCACTTTATACTTCATATTTTATCTAGTTGTGTTCTGTTCTGGAATTGTTCTCGATCTTCTACCGTTACCGTTCTTACGGTTAGGAGTTGTGGAAGGGTCCACGTCTGCAGGGCGCAATGCCGGGTCCACAAGGGGCGCGTTTCTTCTTACAGCCCGTCACGCTGATAATGAGTATTGTGAGAAAGACAATCAGTATAGTGTAGAGGCGGTTTACGTTAAATTTGCCCATTCTTGCTTTACTGTAACAAGTGGACGCACAAAATTATTAGCACATTAGTCTACAAAAATGAAATTCTAAGTAACTAGGCAAATCGGAAACCGTGGCTTGAGTACAAACTAAGTACTGTATGTAACATACTAAGTAGATACTTAATCTGTAAGTAAGATTATGGCCAATCAGAAAAAACAAACTGGGCAGGAGTGTCAGATGATCCTTGTTCGAGACCATAAACTGATACTGTCTTCCTACATTGGGAATGCTCTGGGAAGGGAATGAAGTATGCAGACCAAAAGTAAAGTTGAAAACAGCGTAACGTGATGATGATATATACATAATACAATTATATGTAAGTACCTACCGCATACAGGTACATGAAGAAGTTACATGACGAGCAAATGTACCGAACAAAACGTTCAGAATACAAACGTACGTTGATCCGTTAAGTTTTTTGACCATTATTTAATTACTTGTAACGTGTAACATCGAAAGAGTTAAAATAATAAGTTGAAAATAGTTGTCGAAAGGTGTTAATGGATGACAAGTTGAGATACTTGTGACGAGTTAAACCTTCACGAGTCTCGAATTAAATAGGCACTTATCCGATAATGTGGAACTGTGGTGTCTTGAACTATTCATACAATTTTAGTAGAAACTGGAAGGACGATTAGAGCTAGAGTACTTTCTAACATTAATAACGACTAATTTACAATTTGCTGACGGCATAGCCACCGGTCTCAATAAAAGAAGAAGTCAGACAATAGTGGGTAGGAACCTTACTCGACTGTCACTTATTGACTTTTCCTCTTTCAGATATGTACTTAAGGTTTGGTAAAATTATTACAAAAGGGCACTACCTACCTTTTGTCGAAGTGCTTCGTCATGTTTTTGAACTGTCATAACTTGGGTTTGGATTATACCAGATAAAACAAATTAGAGGCATGATGTCCATAGGGAACTTATTTAACGTATCAAATTTCAATTGCATATCTCTTATACTATAATTTTATTGACGCCTAAGAACCCCGATTTCGTCACTGACTCACTGATGATTATCTAAATTCTTAGGATCATCAGAGTTCTTACGCTGAATTTTGGTATGTAAGCTAGTATTAGTACAAAAAGAACTAAACAATTCTGAAACTTGGAACTTTTACTCCTAACCCCTTAAACTAGGGGACGGAAGTTTAAGGGGTAAGGAGTAAAAGTTCCTTCTACACATTTTGAAACTAGAGGTCTGAAAATTGGTATAATCAAGGAGTCCCTCCTTGTTATAAAATTAATATGTTGACATAATATGACAAAATATGTGGCTTGGCAGTTTCGCTACCGTCCCATGGGCGTAAGGTGAAAAGTTTGTTTACTGTTAATTACTTTTCTGTTATACAAAAGTTCTTGTAGTAACGAAATGGCCAAGCCACATACATATTCTGACTAAGGTGTAGGTTTGTGAAGTTAGGGCTTGTAGAGTAAGGAAATGTACAGCTGGAAACTCGGGTCTAGATACATGAGATCTGATAACTTTTTGACAGTGCGAGCCACATGGTCTCGTCTTGGTAACATTTTACATAAAAATGTTTTTGGTGGGATATAAATTACACAGAACAAATGACACTTTCATTTCATCACGCAATATTTGTCCCGTTTTTATAATGTGCTTATCAATAAAAAAAAATTTTTCTGATTCTGAATAATAAGCATTACATAATATTAAGGGATATCGTGATCAAATATTATCTCATTTACAAAAACAAAAAGTTTTACCGGCAATTTAAATTTAAAGGTCAGCTTTGCCATTTTCACATACAGTAGTACGAGTACAGTAACACACACAATTTGAAATTGCAATTTAATTCTTACCGTTCTAGCTACTTGCTGCACGGCGCTGGTGATCTACAGGCAATATATATTTTCTTCGTACAGGCGTGCACCAGACCGAAGAGTCCCAAGATTCCAGTTAAAACCAACAGAGTGAACCTCTGCAGAATATCCATTGTATTCTACCGCTTCAGCATTGCGCTGTGTCTTCAGATACCCTGCAAAGGTGAGCCCCTGCTTCGACAAACGCCACGACAGATGGCCAAATAGACAATTCTAATTTGTTTGACGACAATGTCTTCGTGCAATACATATCTAAAACTTTACTAATTAGCTATGCTATAGATATTTGTTTGTTTATGGAATTTGTGAAGTTTAGCATTGTATAAATAAGCATTATACTGAACTATAGAAAAATGTAAACCAAGCGTATTTTCGTTTCCCAAACAAATCACCACGTAAATTAATTTGTAATGATATGCGAAATGTTTTACATCCAACCTGAGTCTATTGATTTGGGTCAAATGTCTATATGTATTAAACTGACCGACATGGGTCTGTCTACATACGTACCTTTTCGTGCTATTATGTCTGGTTCGTGAAAATGTTAAAACTTAGAATTTTGGTTTTGGGTTTTTGTGTGAAAAGTTTGTAGTTTTCTTACGGACGTGACGGTTTGACTGATGTGCCAATTGGAATGACTGAGTTTGAAAATTTGACAGCTTAAACTGGCCGGCTGAAGATTAACAAGGAGGATGGACATATTTACATATATTATAAACTCATTTAAAAAAACTTAGGACAATCTAAATGAAATGTTTAATTTGTGAAGGCTCTGTTAATATGGTAACGTAATTATGTACCCGTATAAAATATGTTAAGACTGACTCCGTTATGTTCGAAAAAACTTCAAATTGGAAACTTCAAACAGTTGGATTGGAGTTTAGGTTTTTTGAACTGAATAAAACTAGACAGTTAATGAACATAAATTACGCAGATAAAAGGGAATTTGTCCATCTAAAATAAGTCTGTAAAAATTTGCTTTTTAGTGATAAGGACGCCATTTGTACATGCTCATTAGTTTTATGTACTCTTGTACAAAACGAAAAATTAGAGTGCAATAAAGTTTATTATATTCTAAAGACGAGTAATTTTCAACTCTGTTTATTTGTATGTTTCATCTTCGAAGGAGTATGCACAATCGTCTTAATATTCGCATTTTAGCTTTATTTGAGTCCAGTGTAGCGTAATGTGGACGAGCCGTCTGATGTCTGAAAGATGAAGTGAACTTGAATTGAAGGCATTTTGTAACAATTAAATACAAACGTAAACAGCAACACCTATAAAACATTATTCTAAAATCTTGTCATGCTGAGAGTTTTCCTATTTATGCTTAAGATACGTATCCAATCTTTATTTAAATATTTAGTTATTTGTTTATTACCGTCTTCTTTCAGTTTTCTTCAGCACTCACACAGGTTACAGTTTTCGCTTATTAACGCGGT